CCGCAAACTGGATGTTTTTTCCCTTTTCACACCATTCTTTGTAAACCCTAGAAATGGTTGTGCGTGAAAATCCCAGTAACTGAGCAGATTTTGAAATATTCAGACCGGCCCGTCTGGCACCAACAACCATGCCACGCCAAAAATGGCTTAAATAACCTTTCTTTCCCATTCTGACATTCAGTTTGGAGTTCAGGAGATTGTCTTGAACAGGACCACACCCCTAAATGCATTCAAACAAACTGCCATGTGATTGGTTGATTAGATAATTGGATTCATGAGAAATTGAACAAGTGTTCCTATGATCCGTAGGTGAGAGTATTTACGATTGCAATGCAAATTGCATGTTAATGAGTAAATAATTGGACATTAGCACCACCTACTGGTTTTCTACGCGTAAGTAGGTGTTTACACAACAGTTTCACAGATTTTGCCCTTCTGTCCTTCCATAGAACATAGAAGATATCGACAGCATATTCACTGATTCATTTATGAGTTATAAAATCATTGTGTGATACAACTAAAGTCACAGTTGCGTGTTATAAAGTCTGCAATATGAACTCGCAATTCTAAGAAATAAAGTCAGAATCACGAATTGAGAGAATTGAGAGACAAAAAGTTGCAGTTTTATATTTTAAAAATTATTTTATCATTGTTGTCACACAATCAATTTTATGCTATAAACAATGAATATCAAATTACAAAATGTGGAGAGAAAATATGGGCAAAAGGTATGAGAGGTTTATATATGAATATGAAATATTAAAATGTGAAAAAACATGAAAATGAATATCAATATTATGTATTCATTTCCATTGCATAAAAGTAGACTATCCATATGGAATACTCCCTTTTAATAGTGAATGTTGTCAAACACTGCTGTGTGTTATAAGCAATAATTAATCTTGTCTAGGAAGAAAATCTGTGTATGCAGCAGATAAACATTCTCAATTAACTCCACAGAACAAACGCTTCTCATTCACTAAGTAATGCCTATTAATTTACATTATGCATTATGCATATTTTTATAAACGAACCACCAGCAGAATAGAACCAGTTTAGTAAAGTTTATGCATCTTAATTTATTTGGAATTTTACTAATATCAAAATTTTATCTCAGGAAAAATGTGCCCTCAAATTAAGAAGAAGAAGCAGAAGAAGAAGAAGATGAAAATAATACAGAAATAAATTATTAATACAGAAAATAATACGAACCTTTATTTTGAAAACAGAGAACATGGGTTATTATTTTACTTCCGGTGTTTCATTGCCATTTGAAGGCTGTAGCAGGTTGTGCCTTCCTTAGCAAAATCATACATCTGTTAACTTCTTTAAATAATTTTAGCAAGTGAGAGGGATGTTTCGTAGGAAGCTTTCAGCCTTAGAGTATCACAACCCAAATGGATTTGACTGTAAAGGTAGGAACCTGTCATCATTATTGAAAGACGTGTTGCCACCTCATGCTCCTAATACTGATCATGTCCATTCAGGAGAATACCAACAGCTTAATAGAGAGCATTTATCGTTCACAACTAAGTCATCTATTATGTTATTAATATTGTGTGTGTTATTTACTTCACTCAGATGAAACGGAATTCAGAAATTTCATAGTTTGGCTGGAAGATCAAAAAATCAGACACTACAAAATTGAAGACCGGGGAAATCTCAGGAATATTCCCAGCTCAGACTGGCCTAAATATTTTGAAAAGGTGAAACTAATATATATCAACAAATTTATTTTCATATTTATGTGTTTAGTGTATATGTAGGCCTAAAGTAAGGGCTTATACCGTTGTTATTATAATGTATATTATCTATTAATTGGTGTTGTGTGTTTGTAGTACCTCCAAGATGTGAACTGTCCATTCGGCGTCCAGGAAAGACCAGAGAGCGTTGACTGGCTACTGGGTCTTGCTGTTCGTTTTGAATATGGAGACAATGGTATGATTATTTATTTGAGATTGTTTTTTGTTTATTTGTTTTTTGATACTTTACTTTTAAGAAAACCAGTGGTCGACATATATATATATATATATATATATATATAAATCTGTTCTGTATTTTGTTGACTTGTGAAATTACACTCTCCCAAATGTTTCCAACAATGTTTAAATCCAGAGAAGTCTATTTTAACTACTGTATACTTTATTGTCAAGCTTCATTTGTAGTAACAGTAATACAGCATTTCCTTTACCATACAATGTTTTCAAATGAATTGCATGCCATTTAGCAACAGAAGTCATCCAGCTTTTATTCATTAATGTATGATATTCTAATATCGATCTATCTTACTGCAGTCAACATTTGAAGTTGATACGAACCTTTCATCAAAGGTATACATGAATTTGGAACAATACCTGTTCTTGTCTTAGTAACTTGTTTGATCCATTTCAAATGTTGACTTCTGTATATTAGTGTATCACTAGTTGTAACACCTATTTTGTCCTTTTATTGGTAAGACTTCCTCATTGAAAGCGGTTTAGTAATTCTGTTCAATCTCAAACCACTGGATGGCAGCATTTGCAAAGTTTTTCAATAAAGTGTAAAGCTTGCAGCTGTCCCGCACATTCGATTGCACAATCTTGATTCAATTTTTGTTTAGAGCAAGATGTTCCTAGATATGCTAACAAATAATTGTGACAACTTGAAACCTCTGATTTCCATCGCACTGACCACTTATGTTATTTTACATCCCACAGTTGAGAAATATCGCAACTGCAAACCTGCGACAGAGGCCAATGATGCTCAAAAGTCTGCAGACCCATTAATTAATCTGGACAGTGAGTATTCCCTCCCACAAACATCTTTCCAGTCTCCAGTCCTGTTGTTAGGAGACAGAGGAGGCTGATTAAAGAAACCAACTCAATCGCTAATGTTGTTTTCCAAGCATGTCTGAACAAACTGATTACACACCCACCTCTCTCCACAACCCACAATGAGTGGGCTGAACCGAGCCAGTGACCCACAGCTGAAGGAAAACCTCCACATGTTCACTGAATGGAAAATATTGGGCTGTGCTGTTGTTGTTTTTTCTCTTTTCGTTATTATAGTCTTTGTAGTAGTCAAGTAGTTGATTTTATTCCACTAATCACAAATGGGAACATTATTATCAGAGATTATATTTTCTTGTCATAAGTAATTAAACCAAGTCAAACTAGTTTTGCATTGGAAAAAAAAGATGGAAAACTGATGTTAAATGTGATTTCTCTCTTTAGTTAATAATCCAGATTTTAAGGCTGGTGTCTCGGCTCTCGCTAATCTTCTCAAAATTCAGCGGCATGATGATTATTTGGTAATGCTTAAAGTAAGTATGGTTCGTTTTGTTGATGGTATGAAACATTTCTTTGAATCCAGAGCAATTAAACTCAAGTTATTCTGTTGTTTGTCATCACAGGCCATTAGGATCCTGATTCAGGAACGCCTGAACCCTGATGCTATTGCAAAGGCCAGTCAAGCAAAAGAGGTGAGCATTCAATGTTCTTCTGAAGTGAAAAAGCCCAGTCGGGAAGATTGTCGTTGAAAGAAATCTGAAAGAAAACTGTTAAATATTATCACTACTGTATCAATTTTGAAAACAGTTGTGCTGCTTAAAGGTGCAGTGTGTATTTTTTAGCGACATCTAGCTGTTCGGTTGCGAGTTTGCACTAAGGGCTCAGCCCACTACTCACCCCTCCCTTTCGAAGAACTTTGCGCGCGGCAAAAATGACACGATTGTAACAGTGCGCGCGCCTCCGCATCCTCTAGACACCATTTACTACACACAATAGGGTTTTTTTCACTGATTTTGAAAACTCTTCACAATCGACTTCAAATGCTTCCAAGATCGACTTGTCGACCGTGTTTATGTCCAGCTTCTAGATTTCTGCTGCTTCTCTTTCAAGGTAGTGGCGAAACGCGCTCTGTAGCGCTGTTTGTACGTTGTCGGCTACGGTAGAAACATGACGTCACAATATGTCGACCTTCATAGAAGGGGATGTCTGCGGTTTTGTAGATTTAAATGTCTCATTTTAAGGTGATAAAAATTGATTAAGTTCTTTAGACACCACTGAAAACATAGTTATGGATGTGATTTTGCATTTCTGTTAATAGATACTCAACATTTTTACACATTGCACTTGAATATTTTTGTGGAACTGATACATTTTATTTTATAGGATTCTTTGATAAATTTAAAGTTCAAAAGAATTATTTATTTGAAAAGGATTTTTTTAAATCATTATTACTGTCACGTTTGAGCTATTTAATGCATCCTTGCTGAATAAAAGTAATCATTTCTTTTAAAAAAAATCTTAATGAAAGGAAGTTTAGATTTCAAAACATTTGCTTATTTGTTCTCTCGTAGGGTTTACCAGTCGCTCTTGACAAGCATCTTTTAGGATTTGATACGGGAGGTAGGTTTGCACGCACATTCTGCATTTAATTTGCTGTTGACTTTTGAGGAATTGTAAGCACAAAGAATGCTTGATCGTTCCAGATGCGTCTCTGAACGAAGCGGCCAGAATTCTTCGCCTGCTTCACATCGAGGAGCTCAGAGATTTACAAACAAAGATCAACGAGGCTATCGTGGCAGTTCAGGCCATCATCGCTGACCCCAAGACAGACCACCGCCTCGGAAAGGTTGGCAGATAAAAACGTCCTGCCAGGATCTTGCTGCAGAGACCTTCTTCACGAGACATGCTTTGTTTTCATTTACCACACCACAAATATTTTGTTTGAGTTCAAGGCATTTTTGTGGGAATGCCAAACTGGATTTTTTTTATAATGCATTTGCTTCCCCCTGTAATTAAAAAAATGCACTTATGAAATTTGACATGGGCTACAATAAAAAGCTGGACTATTTTTTTTGTTGTTGCATAATAAACCTTAATGCAACGTTTTATGGCCAGACTCTATGTTCATTTTACCCCCAGAGAAAGAAATTCAACTTTATACCCCCAACTGTGCATATACTGTATTCATTAAAAGAATCACCGCAGAGCCAAAAAATAATGCAAGCAGACATATTAAAGTTGTCAATCACATTTTATTGTTATAAATATCATTTCTTACAAAAGATAAAAAGGATTAAAAAATTAAGATTGGTAAAAGACCACTTTTGTTGTTCAAACCAATCTTTTTTTTTTTTTTTTTTTACTTTTTCCCCAAAATACTGTTTTAGTGTTTTTATTAACATACAAATTACTCAACTAAACTCAGGGTATTTATTTTATCATTATTTTTTGTTAGGGTTTTTTATAACAAAAAGTCACATACAAAAATACAGTAGAATGAAATGAGGTATAAAACAAATTTACAAAACTATTTTTGAGAAAATATTCACGCTTTCATGTTTGTAAATTTGCACTTTGGCATTTACGGTGACGTTTGTCAAGACTTGCGGGATCCGCAATCGGCTCTCTCTTGGTCCACGACTCTGCCGCGATTCCCACAGCACCAGCTCTCCAAACGCTCGCCCAAAATAGCACCATGTAACGCTGGCTCTGTTATTAGTGTGTTCCTATAACACAAAACGGGACACTTGTCGGAAATCCTTCACAGAATGCCAAGTTTGGACAAATGCGAAAACATTTCATTTTCTAGCAGGGGAAATTCCTGCTTTCATATGCTAGTACAGATATACAAACTCTTACTCTGATCTTGTTCCACTGTTTTCTGGTCTTAAAAAAAACTGAAATGCTTTGAAGTACTGGTGCAACACCAGTGTTTCATCGCCTCTGTCAAAACTACAGTGATTAAGAGCCAGATGCCTTGTACTTTTCTCTTTAGTGCCTGTAGTTGACAGCTAATGTCTGAAAAATGTTATCCTGTTATTTGCTCAAAGAGGTCATACACATTTTACTACATGGAAAACGTGTGCTTTTAAGTGTACTTTTCAGTTATTAAACTACACAAGCTGAAGCCTATTTACAGAGTGCTTTACAATATATTAGTGCTGTCAAATTGATTAATTGTATCTAACTTAAAAATGTGTGTTCATATATTATGTGTGTGTGTATATACATATATATATATATATACAGTTGTAATCAACCCCCATTTCAGGTTTATTAGCAAAATGTTACAGACTTTCAGCTGTTTGCAATGAACAAATCAAACAAAAGTTAGTGAAATGGCTCTCTAAGTGTCAAGTGGTTTCCCCGAATTTGACAGAAAAAGCAACTTTTAATGACCTCGGCAGTCTCAAAATGACCCAACCCCTTAAATAGCATCCCTCACAACAGCACAAATCCGCAAAACAGGTGTTGTCTCAAACCTGATGCAACTAATCAAGGGCTTCATTAGTTGCACCAGATGTACTTGAGCTAGAAAACATGAAATATCTGAACTAGCTAGGTTTGTTGAGTGTCACATTTGACTGCATGTTAGAAATATGGCAAAAGAAAAGTCCAAAAAGATAAGACTCAAACCTAGACAAGATAACAAATGCACTAGATGTTCCTAGAGACACCATTGGAAGCATAGTTCACAAGTTGAAAAGTTAAAGTAACAGTGATTATACTACCTGGACGAGGCAGAAAAAGGAAGCTATGAACAGCTGAAACCAGATTTCTGAGAAGGAAGGTTCAGAAAAAACCCTTGAGTTACTGCAAAAGACCTGCAGCAAGACTTGGTGGAAACAGGCACTGAGGTTTCAGCTTGCACAGTAAGGCGCGTAATAAACGCTTGCGGTTTCCATGCCAGAATTCCCAGACGTACACCACTATTGACCCAAAAGGACATGGAAAAAAAGCTCAAAATCATAAATAAGGCACAGAAGTTTTGAGATTCTGTTCTGTGGAGTGATTAAACAAAACTGGAGCTTTACGGACCAATGTATCAGCGGCAGTGTTGGGAGTAACGCATTACAAAAGTAATACATTACTGTAACATGTTACTTTTAGCTGTAACGCAGTAGTGTAAGGCATTACTAATCAATTTTCAGTAATATTTTACTCGTTACATGTTCAGTGAGGCTTGTATTACAGTTGTATTACAGTGTATTGTCTGCTTTTACTTCTTAAAGGCAACAGACTATGTGAAAGTTTTAAAGCAGTCTTTTAGTGCCAGTCGAGCGGTCGCGTCTGTAACATTGTTTTTTCCTCATAAATGCGAACACGAAAACTAAAACAAAATGAATATTTTAAGTTCTATGGAGACTGGAGAGCCAACCCTTCCTCATCCGATTTGCGCAGTGTAATTAACAGAATTACAAAAAAATATATTTTGCCTCCTATTTTTTTTGTCACACATGAATGTGTGTCTTTTCCCTAATATTAAAAATAAAACATAGACTGATATTTGTCTAATGTCTGGAGTCCTTTAAGGAAGTAGCCTATATACGTTTCAATACATCTAATTTCTGAGAATTTTTATTTCAAGTTTTGACTGCAAATGTCATGTCCATAATGCTGGACTTAACTTCAAATGTTAACTTCAAATAATACTAATAGCCTAATTTAAAGATAAGGCAGCATTGGATCTGGACGGTAAGGAGAATAACGCTGGGAGTTGGAAGAGGTTTGTCGCGATTCTATAGGTTCGTGGATCTGAGTCGTGTGGCGAATGGCGATTTCGGTTTCATATTGCATATCGTTACAGCCCAAAAGTTAAGTTCTACTTAGTTATTTTGGTGAAAGTAACTCAAAAGTAATACATGAGTAATGTAACGCATTACAATTCTGAGACAGTAATATTGTAAGGTAATGAATTACTTTTAAATAACAGTAACAAGTAATACCTAATGTATTACAGTTTGGAAGTAACTTGCACAACACTGATCAGCGGTATGTCTGGAGGGAGAAGAATACAGTTAACTATGGTGGTGCTCAGTGATGTTCTGGGGCTGCTTTGCATCCTCTGGGACTGGAAACCTGCAGCATGTGAAAGGCAGCAAGATGGATTGATTGAAATTTCAGGAAATCCTAGTAGAAAACGTCATTGGACCATTGGACCTTCTAACAGAACAAAGATCCCAATCACACCTCAAATTCCACCAAGACTTGGTTGTAGAAAAAGTCCTGGAAGATTCTACATTGGCCATCACAGTCACCTGACTTGAGAAAATATCTGGTGGGATTTGAAGAAGGCGGTTGCATCACGCAAACCCAAGAATATTACTGAACTGGAGGCCATTGTTCATGAGGAATGGGCTAAGATTCCTCAGAAACTCTGCCAGAACAACATGACATCATGACTTTTGCGTAAACATATACGCCACTTTCGAGTCAGGTGGCGTGTTATCTCCACGCATTTTGTGCTATCCGCGTGTATGCGTATATGTCTACACCATTAACTTCCGCGTGTCCGAACACGCAGTCAAATCTCCAGTCATAAATGCCATTAACCCCAGTGACGGTTAAGTTTAGGGATGGGGTTGAGGTAAGTCATATCTTTTTTTTACCTAGGATGGTAAGGGAACAGTCATAAATGCCATTAACCCCAGTGGCGGTTAGGTTTAGGGACGGGGTTGAGGTAAGTCATATATTTATATAACGTTAAGTCAACGGCGTTCATAAACACGCTGAAAGGCGATTATGTGTCTTGATAGCACGCCAAAAATGGAAATACGAATTGGCGTGTCATACACACGCTACTTCATGAGATCTGTCTGGCCAGAAGCTGGTTATACATCTTGTTTACAGCAGGTCATAACAGTAAAAGAAAGCAGAAGCAGAATTTTGAGGCTGCAGAAGTCATTCAAATTTGAATTTTCAGTTGAATTTGGGGAAACCACTTGAAACATCTATTAAAAATCAACAAAATTAATTTTGTTTGATTTGTTCAATGCAAACAGCTGAACGTCTGTACATTTTGGTACTAATCCTGATTTGCAATGGGGGGTTGAATAATTTCGATTACAACTGTGTATATATAAATTTGTGAACGTTATATAAACAAACCTTTATATACATACTGTATATATAATGGAAAATACATTAGCAAAACTAAAAAGATAATACTTTACCACTGAAATCTGTAAGCACCTTATAAACAGTGTGGAGGAGCAACTGTAATTCCATACAAATGAGATCTCTGATCAGGCAAGTACTCATCTGTTGATTGGTTATCTCGACTGAGAGCGATGACCCCATCTCTGAAACGTCACAGAAGAAAATTAAAATTGAGATTAGTTAAATTCATTATAATTTAATTAATGAATGTACAGTCACACTTGACAAAACTGGACCTCACAATAAATATGAATAAGCTTCAGGGTTTCTGTTTTTAATAAATGGTAAATAGCATATAATAACAAACATTATAAAGGGTTATAAGGGTTAAGGTATTATAAAGCTATATTATCTACTCAGTTTCCTGTTTCACTGCAAACCATGTTGTTCTAATGCTTGTATTTAGTATGAATGCAAGTTAATGGAGCACAAAGTGTGACAGAACATGAAGGATTTGTCAACATGGCACTTTTTAAAATTTAATACAGGAACATTTATAAATATCTGATAGGTAGTTATGATTCCGATGGTCATTTTCTGTTGGAGATGTGCTATGCTTTACCTCCTCCAGTCTGTGTAATAGTAGTGATTGGCGAAGGAGACCATGCTGAAGGGGTAGTTTAGGTTACTGTGGATCACACGCCTCCCTGTCCCGTTAGGTGATATACACTCTAGGCGCTTGGTTCCTGCCCAAAACGCAAAAAAAGAGGTTATCAACATTTTGAATGAGCTTTTCAGTACCAGTTATTGTGGTATCTAATTCATATTTACATGGTCAGAATAAGATGCAAAGTGGGCCAGACTTTATGTCAAAAAAAACCCTCAAAATATTGCTGCATAATAACTAGCCTACATCTGCTTAGCGCATACCTGCATCGGCCCAGCAGACCTGGCGTGTAGTGGAGTCGTAGGCCAAAGCATTGGGAAGTCCAATGCCATCCTGTACCAGGACTCTTCGATTTTGTCCATCCACCGTCGAGCTCTCGATTTTAGGAGCTTCTCGGTTCCAGTCAGTCCAGTAGAGGGTTCTGTGAAAAGATCAAGTTTTACTTGTCAGGACATTATGGCAATGGTGGAACTTTTGTTGACTTTTGTTTAGTCTTGTCAAATTAATGAATCGCGATACATAAATGTTTGTAAATATATGTGTGTGTGTATGTATCTATATAGATCATTCGCGATTAATCGATTTGACTGCACTACTTTTTTTGTAAAATATAAACTTAGATATAAAAATAGATTATATTTATACATTTTTTATTTTTTACATTTATATTAAATACATGTACATTTATAATTTATTAATAATGTATTATTTTATTGTGTGTGTGTGTTTGGATGCTGTGTTGTTTTAATCAGTATTGGTCATTCCAAGTAAAATAATCAAGTGTGTGTGTGTTAAAAAATTTAAATTGTATTACTGTTTCCACAAAAATATTCTTATATATAATATAAAATAACTTTTACTAATAATTGAGCATGCTTGCATGTGCAAGTCTAATTCTCTCATATTTAAACCATATAGGTTTAACGGTTTTGTCAAATTAGTGAAGTCAAAGCTTGAAATAATATCTATTATATTGAGATATAAGACTTTTAACATGGGAGGCAAAATGGCTCACAGTTTGAGATTTTTCAAGAGTTGCAATTCATGTTTTGCTAAATCAGGAAACATACAAAACTGCTCTGCTCTATTTAGCATTGATTTAAACAAGATGTTTTAAATCATGGGAAATGAAACTAAAAAACTATCCTGCACTATTTTTATGCTGAATCACTCACTGGCCAATAAAGATTTATAACCATAAATTGTTACTTATGTTCCTCCCTGAGGATTTCTAAGCATCGAATCACATTTTCACAGCATTTGTGGTGAAAAATGATTTAAGGAAATTCTCAACTGATGCATCAGACTTCAACCCAGATAGCATGTTAATCGGAGCCATCGCCTTATGCATGTAGACATTATGCGTTATGGCAAAAACAAACTACCACATAGCACGAATCGCAGCACCAACAAACACACATTTGCAGCTATTCCCATGGCCCATGAGGTTTGTGTTATATCTCCTGTCCTCCACACTAGTTCAGTTGCTCCAGATGTTGCAGATGGCTGTGTTTGTGGAGTTGCTGGCCCACACGTTGCTTGCCTCCCCCGAGACCCGAGAGTCAGGCCAGACACTGAAGCAACACTAACATCTGGGCCAATTTGTAGCCTTGCCCTCTTATTTTCTCTGCCTCCCATACACGTCCTGACCTCCTCCCTCTCTCGCTTTTTGTGCTGTTCTCTCGCTTACCCTTAATCGCACTTTCACGATAGCAGATAACAGATTTTTGGTTTTGGAGCATTCTTGTAAAGGAAACATGAGAAGTTGGAGATGGAGGGGAAATGATGGTTCATTAAATCTGCCAATTATTGTATTAATGATCCAGTCTGAATGGTCCAGTTCAAGACAAAAGTGGAAAAGAACAGCAATTTAAAAAAAAGATTTGTGTATATATATATATATATATATATTGTTACGAGAGATTTATATATATATATATATATATAATTTTTTTTACTTTTTGTTCATCAAAGAATCCTAAAAAAAAGTATCACAGGTTATAGAAAAAAAATATTAAGCAGCACAACTGTTTCCAACATTGATAATAAATCAGTATATTAAAATATACTGAAGGTCCTGTTTTCATGTCCTATCCTGGCTGTTTTTTATAAAGTGATAAAAATGTCCTGGTTTTCAAAAAACTGCTGGGAAAGATCAGCTCTACAGCAAAATTTAGATGGGCAAACAAGGAGGATGAGGAAGAAAAACAGGATAAAGAGGAAGAAAACTATATTTTGTCAGTTCGTTTTTGTAAGTTTGTGAGAGCTATTTTTGTTCAATTTATTATTTACTTCCAATAGAGAATAGACATTATTTCTATCATTATTTCATTCATTATTTTTGAAACCTGACATAATAATACGTTAAGTAACCTCTGAGAATTTGTGTCTTGTAATTTAACAATTTTCTATTTATACAGAGGAGGCATAGGCTACTTTAAATGTATTGAAATTAATAAGGTGTCTTTAAATAAACTTTGACTATCATTTGAGTATCTGTTTGCTGGGCCGAGTGTCCTGGTTTTTGGTAATCAAAATATGGTCACCCTAATTTCTGAAGGATCACGTGACACTGAAGACTGGAGTAATGATGCTGAGAAAACATTTGCATCAAAGAGGTAAATTCAATTTGAATATATATTCAAACAGATTTTATTGTAATAACACACACACATATATATATATATATATATATATATAGTGTTGTAGTACTCGAGACTCGGACTCGGTCTCGAGACCATATTTTAATGGTCTTGGTCTTGTCATGGACTCGTGTGCATTTGGACTCGGAATTGACTCGTACTCGAAAATTTTTTTTTTTAGGACTTAGACTTTTTCCCGAGTCCACTCGAGTTCAATTCAAAATATTTTTCATGATTATTAATGTACGTTAATAAAATATTTCTTTAAATTGATTGACACACCCAGTGATTGGTGATTTTCTAGTGCGCAACTGCGCATGACAAATTGTAATAAAATTACTTTTAACACCACCTATCAGCACTATGTGGCCTTTTTACCCTAAACTGATCATATTTTTTTAAACTCTAAGTAAATTCAGTAAAAAAAAAAAAAGGATTTCTCTAAGTAAATAAAAGTAAATTAGGTAATCAACCCTCACTGGTCTCGGTCTCGACTCGGACTCGACCGTCTCTGGTCTCGGACTCGACTTGGACTCGACTCTCTATGGACTCGGTCTCGACTCGGACTCGAGTGAGGTGGTCTCGACTACAACACTGTATATATATATATATTTAAGCAAGATTAGCACATACCCTGTAGGGGAGTCCACAATGATGGCTCTGGGATTTACTAAGTCTTTCTCGAACAGAACACGTCTGTCACTTCCATCAAGGTTTGCTGTTTCGATCTTGTCTGGTGTGCTGTCCACCCAAAACAGTCTCCTACGGGCCACATCTACAGCAAGACCTTCTGGACTCGTCAGAGCTGGAGAAGATTATATAATATATAAGATATTCCATTCCATTCCAAATATCATAGATTTTTTTCTAGCAAAATAAACATACCAGTATTGATAATAATCTCAGATTCTGATCCTGGCTCCAAACTGGCTCGATTGATTGTCCGTCCTGCCAGATCGGTCCAGTAAACTTTCCTTTCTCTGCAGTCGTAATCAATGCCGACCACTATAGAGCCCTGAAAGTGTAAACAGGACTGAATTAGTATACTTTTCTCAAAGCCACAGACTTCAGTATTTCAATCAATATTGTGCAAGTCTCACATGTAGAGCCAGCAGCACTGAAGATCTCTGCTTGTCCATCTGTGTGCCATTGAGAGGCAAGATTCCAATCTGTTGACCCTGGGCATAGAGCAATAACGTGCCTGCTGGAGGTGGGGTCACATCCGGGCGTGGCAGAGGGCGCATGGTTGGAGGGGCCACAGTAGGTATACCTAGAAGGTAGGCGATTGATTGTTTTAGCTTTGAAAAATAATTAATTTTCCTGCCTCTTGTTTTGAATATGAGGCGATACAGATTATTCATAATAATAATACTATATTCAACCACTATAGAAGCAACATAACTCTTTTTGTTCAAGCATGGAGACACTTAATTAGTAGAAAAAATGTACATTTCACAGCAAGCGACACTCACAGGCAGGTTTCACAGCGTCGTGTGAGCGGGTTCCTTGTACTTCCCGTCCATTTTGGTCCACACACCAGCAGTAGCTGGTGTCTCCATAGCACTGAACCGGGTTGAACTCGCCGAAGAGTCACACTGAGGTAAATAGTGTTGGGAATTCGGCTGGCCTCCATATTGCTGCATCAGACTGGCTCTCCAACGCTCACAGACGGTCTCTGGACGCTGGGTTGGAGGCACTATCACTGGGTATCAGAGGAAACCATGAACATATTACTGATGCTGCACAAAATGTTGATATATTTCAATCATCACGTTTACATATCTATAAATTTCAAGTACCACACCACAAAGATTTATCAAGTGAACAATGAAAATAGCAAATGTTTTATCCAGCATGATCTAGAAAACCAAAACAAAATGTTTGACAGATATTTAAAAGTTTTAAACTACTGAATGGATTTATGATAATTACTTTTATGTATTATTGTTGTTATTTTTCATTCTATTAATAATAATAATTAAATATATTTAAATAATTAAAAAATAATCATTAAGGTGACAAACGTGTTTTAGATATTTTGCCTATGCTAAAGTTGACGCCATGATGCTAGTTTATGGGGGATGGTTACCAGGGCGTTGCTATGTAGTTGTTAAGGTGTTCTATTTAATAAAAAAAAAAAATTAATGTACATTTATATAACTATACTTTGTGTTACATTATCTTGGCATTAAAGTTCAGAAAACTAGTTAATGAGTGTTTTTACAACTGCTTTTTTTGGAACTGCTGACATGGCTGACATGATTCATGGCTGAATTTATACTTCTGTGTCAAACTCCCGCCGTAGCTACATGTACGTCGTAGGCTGTGTGTTGTCGGCGTACCCTGACGTGCACACAGAGATTTCGGACTTTCACTGTGAAGATTTAAAGGTGGAATACCTAAGATTTTTGCATTCAAATATCCCAAAATCACAAGGCTAGTGTTATATATTTAGTTATGATGATAACTCACAATATTCCAAATGTTTCAAACAATGTTTAAATCGCGAGAAAATTGAGATTTTAACCAAGGAAACGGGGCGTATGAGCAGGGGTGAGCTGGGAGTCGCCAGTCAATCGCGTCATATCCGCTTACCTCGGTTTCCGCTCGTACTACGTGTAGTCCTGGACAAATGCGGTAGTTGTAGTTGTGCGTTAGCGTCTATCAAGCAACAAATGTCAGCTTGTTTCGCTCATTTGTTATGGAATGGAGCACAATTATTCTTTTCATTTATTCTCGGAATGTGAACTGTTGGCTGTAAAGGGGGTCACACACCGACGAGAAGCGTCGCGCCACGTTTAGGACAACTCCACAGTATCGAACACCGGACGTGCACTTTCTCATCAGTGTATGGCCAGCAATATTGTTATGTTTAATGACATGAAATGAAGATAATGTCTGTTCTATGTTATGATTGTACTGTACAATTAAATACAATCGTTGCTGAGTTTGCATTCTGAAAACTTTACCTCAGAGCATCCGTTCACTGAATGAATTGAGAATCTCACCTGAAAAATCTAATAATAACATCAGCAATTGTCATTCAAGCAGCTGATTTCTGTAAATGACTGCAAAACTAAATGCATATTGCAGCATAGGGCAAAGTCAGGATCCATTAGCAACGATTTGAGACAAAAATAATTAAAATTTTATATAAAACTATGTAAATGGCGCTCTGTGGCGCAGCAGGATTTTGAACACGGTCCTGAGGCGTTGTTGCTGGGCGCCGCGGACAGACGCCAAATGACGCTGCCGGTATGTGTAACGTTACACTTATAATAATGTTTTCGAATTTTAAAGATGTGGCGCGACACGGCGCGACGTGGCACTGCAGCTTCTCGTCCGGTGTGCGACCCCCTTAACGTTAATTTTGTGAAACTGTAGCTGTGGTTGAATACTTACACGACATGAAAAGATGTGTCAAATGTACATTAAATTTATTTTTTATTTTTATAAAGTTACCAAGGAGGACCAGCCACGTCAACTCCTTGCAAGAGACCTGCCCCTTCAAACCCTCTCCACCATAGCTTCGTCCAGTGACTCGTACAGTAACTAATTTACTTTTAAACCTGACTTTTCTTGCGGTTATTTCAGTTTAATGAAAAACAAGCATGTCATTAAACGCAACGTTTATAGAAATCGAAATTTACCTCATCCATGACAACTAATTTTCGATTCCCGTCTGACTGATTTATCCACGGTGGAGTTGAAAACAACAGTTCCCATCATTCCGCGTTCCTCCACTTAGTCATCAAGCAAAGCCGTTGTTGTTGTTGTTTTGAATGTAGCGCCCTCTAGCGGCATCTAAATCTTAGGTATTGCAGCTTTAAGCATATTTAGATATACAGGAAATCACAATGGAAGACGATTTCGATATATCTAAATATGTTTAGTGAAAGGTAAAACTTCCGAAATCTCTGTGTAAACAATGAGTGACGTACACATGCAAGCGATCACTTCCGGCAGAACGTTGGACACGATTCAGTTGGACATTGGACAACTGATTCAGATCAGTTGGACATGGCTGTGGTTACACGAGGTAAAAACGATATAAATAGTGTTCGTTTTCTCACACAAACCGCTCGTTTCGTGTCTTAGGCCATCAATGTGTACTCACATTTACGAGTCATTAAATCATGTTTAATTTGGACTTCTCTGTGCATGCTCTTTGACGTGGACCCACTATACCTGCATTATATGACTGACAGTCAACAACGGTTTGACCGAAAAATGTCAAAATTGAAAACACTGTGGAAACAAAGACACCTACATCTTGGATGCCATTGAGGTAAGCTAAAACATACCAAACAATTATTTCAAAGTGAACTATCCCTTTAATTCTACACTGTGATTGGCCTGCTAGAACCCCTCCCTCAGATTTCACATGCTCCCTCTGCATGTTGTCAATGCGAACAACGACGCAGAAGTCAGCACAAAGGTTTCTGCGTTGGTCCGACGCTTAGAGAAGCAGAACTTTAGCAGAACACTAAAACCCCATTAGACTAAAATCTCACTCCATAGCTGTATATTAGAAATTAGAGGTTTTATTCAGGCCAGCAAAAATTGCTAGACACTTGACACTTAGGACTTGTTTGGACAAGGTGGCCGCGTACAGCACTCTTACCAGGCTCGTCACAGTTTCTTCTCTGTGTTCCAGGTGGAGTTCGGGTTCCCGCTCTCTCCTGCCCCCTACTGTCCACACACCAGCAGTGACCTGTGGACCCGTGGCACTGCTGAGACCTGTACTGACCCTCCTCATCACACTGAGGGATGAAGCCTCCCACCAGAGGAACACCACCGTTTCCACTCTGAAGACTGTCTCTGTGCTGCTCACACTGGGTCTTGGGACGACCTGGACACACAGATACACCAGTGATTGTTATTCTGCTATCTAGATATGGCAAAGGGCTCACCTGTGATGTAAGTCTATGGGATTTTATTAGCTTTTAAATTCACCAGGTACCAACTTGTAAGTTTGATTGCTATGAGAAGCAGCCCCATCCACAGTCTAATACCATTGGACCAAAATCCCGCTCCATAGCTGTATATTCAATTGGCTGTGATTTTATTGCTTAAAACAATATTTGGTTTTATTCAAGTGTGAAAAATTGCTTGACATTGGAAACTTAGGACTTGTTTGGACAGGTTGGCCGCGCACAGCACTCTTACCAGGCTCGTCACAGTTTATTCTCTGGGTTCCAGGTGGAGTTCGGGTTCCCGCTCTCTCCTGCCCCCTACTGTCCACACACCAGCAGTGACCTGTGGACCCGTGGCACTGCTGAGACCTGTACTGACCCTCATCATCACACTGAGGGATGAAGCCTCCCACCAGAGCAACACCACCGTCTCCACTCTGAAGACTGTCTCTGTGCTGCTCACACTGGGTCTTGGGACGACCTGGACACACAGATACACCAGTGATTGTTATTCTGCTATCTAGATATGGCAAAGGGCTCACCTGTGATGTAAGTCAATGGGATTTTATTAGCTTTTAAATTCACCAGGTACCAACTTGTAAGTTTGATTGCTATGAGAAGCAGCCCCATCCACAGTCTAATACCATTGGACCAAAATCCCGCTCCATAGCTGTATATTCAATTGGCTGTGATTTTATTGCTTAAAACAATATTTGATTTTATTCAAGTGTGAAAAATTGCTTGACATTGGAAACTTAGGACTTGTTTGGACAGGTTGGCCGCGCACAGCACTCTTACCAGGCTCGTCACAGTTTATTCTCTGTGTTCCAGGTGGAGTTCGGGTTCCCGCTCTCTCCTGCCCCCTACTGTCCACACACCAGCAGTGACCTGTGGACCCGTGGCACTGCTGAGACCTGTACTGACCCTCATCATCACACTGAGGCATGAAGCCTCCCACCAGAGGAACACCACCGTTTCCACTCTGAAGACTGTCTCTGTGCTGCTCACACTGGGTCTTGGGACGACCTGGACGCAGAGATACACCAGTGATTGTTATTCTGCTATCTAGATATGGCAAAGGGCTCACCTGTGATGTAAGTCTATGGGATTTTATTAGCTTTTAAATTCACCAGGTACCAACTTGTAAGTTTGATTGCTATGAGAAGCAGCCCCATCCACAGTCTAATACCATTGGACCAAAATCCCGCTCCATAGCTGTATATTCAATTGGCTGTGATTTTATTGCTTAAAACAATATTTGATTTTATTCAAGTGTGAAAAATTGCTTGACATTGGAAACTTAGGACTTATTAGGACAGGTTGGCCGCGCACAGCACTCTTACCAGGCTCGTCACAGTTTATTCTCTGTGTTCCAGGTGGAGTTCGGGTTCCCGCTCTCTCCTGCCCCCTACTGTCCACACACCAGCAGTGACCTGTGGACCCGTGGCACTGCTGAGACCTGTACTGACCCTCCTCATCACACTCAGGGACAAAGGCTCCTAACAGAGGAACACCACCGTTTCCACTCTGAAGACTGTCTCTGTGCTGCTCACACTGGGTCTTGGGACGACCTGGACGCAGAGATACACCAGTGATTGTTATTCTGCTATCTAGATATGGCAAAGGGCTCACCTGTGATGTAAGTCTATGGGATTTTATTAGCTTTTAAATTCACCAGGTACCAACTTGTAAGTTTGATTGCTATGAGAAGCAGCCCCATCCACAGTCTAATACCATTGGACCAAAATCCCGCTCCATAGCTGTATATTCAATTGGCTGTGATTTTATTGCTTAAAACAATATTTGATTTTATTCAAGTGTGAAAAATTGCTTGACATTGGAAACTTAGGACTTATTAGGACAGGTTGGCCGCGCACAGCACTCTTACCAGGCTCGTCACAGTTTATTCTCTGTGTTCCAGGTGGAGTTCGGGTTCCCGCTCTCTCCTGCCCCCTACTGTCCACACACCAGCAGTGACCTGTGGACCCGTGGCACTGCTGAGACCTGTACTGACCCTCATCATCACACTGAGGGATGAAGCCTCCCACCAGAGGAACACCACCGTTTCCACTCTGAAGACTGTCTCTGTGCTGCTCACACTGGGTCTTGGGACGACCTGGACGCAGAGATACACCAGTGATTGTTATTCTGCTATCTAGATATGGCAAAGGGCTCACCTGTGATGTAAGTCTATGGGATTTTATTAGCTTTTAAATTCACCAGGTACCAACTTGTAAGTTTGATTGCTATGAGAAGCAGCCCCATCCACAGTCTAATACCATTGGACCAAAATCCCGCTCCATAGCTGTATATTCAATTGGCTGTGATTTTATTGCTTAAAACAATATTTGGTTTTATTCAAGTGTGAAAAATTGCTTGACATTGGAAACTTAGGACTTATTAGGACAGGTTGGCCGCGCACAGCACTCTTACCAGGCTCGTCACAGTTTATTCTCTGTGTTCCAGGTGGAGTTCGGGTTCCCGCTCTCTCCTGCCCCCTACTGTCCACACACCAGCAGTGACCTGTGGACCCGTGGCACTGCTGAGACCTGTACTGACCCTCATCATCACACTGAGGGATGAAGCCTCCCACCAGAGGAACACCACCGTTTCCACTCTGAAGACTGTCTCTGTGCTGCTCACACTGGGTCTTGGGACGACCTGGACGCAGAGATACACCAGTGATTGTTATTCTGCTATCTAGATATGGCAAAGGGCTCACCTGTGATGTAAGTCTATGGGATTTTATTATTTTTTATGTTCACCCGGAACCAACTTGAAGGTTTAATAGCTTAGAGAAGCAGCCCCATCCACAGTCTAATCCCATTGGCCCAAAATCCCATTCCACAGTTGTATATTCAATTGGCTGTGATTGTATTGCTTAATCCTTAATGCAATGGTTTGGTTTTATTCAAGCCTGAAAAATTGCTGAACACTAGAAACTTAGGACTTGTTTGGACAGGTTGGCCGCGTACAGCACTCTTACCAGGCTCGTCACAGTTTATTCTCGGGGTTCCAGGTGGAGTTCGGGTTCCCGCTCTCTCCTGCCCCCTACTGTCCACACACCAGCAGTGACCTGTGGACCCGTGGCACTGCTGAGACCTGTACTGACCCTCCTCATCACACTCAGGGACAAAGGCTCCTAACAGAGGAACACCACCGTTTCCACTCTGAAGACTGTCTCTGTGCTGCTCACACTGGGTCTTGGGACGACCTGGACGCACAGATACACAAGGGGTTGTTATTTCCACATTACACTCCTTTGCACAACACTTTGTTTATAAGAAATTAAAGGTTTTGTCCAAGTTTAAGAGCTGCCTAACTCTAAACTCCAATAAAGTTAAAGAATTATATGTTTTGATAGTAATATTCCCGATGTTAATACTGTCCATGTAAACACAGGTGGTTTTGACAACCATTGATCTTCCCTAAAATCCTTTACTCATCAGAAAGGAATGCAATATGTGTCTACAACAGAAAAATTTGTATCTCTTCACATTTTTGATCATATCCTCCTTAAACTCTTGAGGTTAGGGCCTATTTTCCCAGACTACCCTCAGAAAAGTAGAATCTGGAGTTTGTACCGAGAGGATATTCACTATCATTCAAAAGTTTCAAATCAGTAAGATTATTTTGAAAGAATGTAATACTTGTATTCAGCAAAGATGCATTAAATTGATCAAAAGTAACAGTAAAGGCTTTTACATAGTTTTACACTGTTATGTTATGTTTAAAATAAATGCTGGTCTTTTAAACTTTCTAATCAGAAAAGAATCAAATCAGCCTATTAGAATCATTTCTGAAGGATCATGTGACACTGAAGACTGGAGTAATAATACCAAATATTCAGCTTTGCATCACAAGAATAAATTACATAAAACAGTTATTTTAAATGATAATAATATTTAACAATTTTACAGTTTTTACTGTATTTTTGATTTAAAAAAAAATACAGCCTTCGTGAGGAGAAGAGACTTCTTTAAAGAACTTTAAAACTGACCCCAAAAAAGCATTTGCCACCTTTATAACAGATCCCAAGTCAATTAATTATTAAAAAAAATTTGAAATGGTATTTAAAATTGGACATGATACCTATTGAGAGAGGATTATGACAATATTCTCCCAAAAAAAATTCAGGTATACATGCTTACCAGGTTCGTCACAGTTTATTGTCGGGGTTCCAGGTGGAGTTCGGGTTCCCGCTCTCTCCTGCCCCCTATTGTCCACACACCAGCAGTGACCTGTGGACCCGTGGCACTGCTGAGACCTGTACTGACCCTCATCATCACACTGAGGGATGAAGCCTCCCACCAGAGGAACACCACCGTTTCCACTCTGAAGACTGTCTCTGTGCTGCTCACACTGGGTCTTGGGACGACCTGGACACACAGATACACCAGTGATTGTTTTTCTGCTATCTAGATATGGCAAAGGGCTCACCTGTGATGTAAGTCTATGGGATTTTATTATTTTTTATGTTCACCCGGAACCAACTTGAAGGTTTGATAGCTTAGAGAAGCAGCCCTATCCACAGTCTAATCCCATTGGCCCAAAATCCCATTCCACAGTTGTATATTCAATTGGCTGTGATTGTATTGCTTAATCCTTAATGCAATGGTTTGGTTTTATTCAAGCCTGAAAAATTGCTGAACACTAGAAACTTAGGACTTGTTTGGACAGGTTGGCCGCGTACAGCACTCTTACCAGGCTCGTCACAGTTTATTCTCGGGGTTCCAGGTGGAGTTCGGGTTCCCGCTCTCTCCTGCCCCCTACTGTCCACACACCAGCAGTGACCTGTGGACCCGTGGCACTGCTGAGACCTGTACTGACCCTCCTCATCACACTCAGGGACAAAGGCTCCTAACAGAGGAACACCACCGTTTCCACTCTGAAGACTGTCTCTGTGCTGCTCACACTGGGTCTTGGGACGACCTGGACGCACAGATACACAAGGGGTTGTTATTTCCACATTACACTCCTTTGCACAACACTTTGTTTATAAGAAATTAAAGGTTTTGTCCAAGTTTAAGAGCTGCCTAACTCTAAACTCCAATAAAGTTAAAGAATTATATGTTTTGATAGTAATATTCCCGATGTTAATACTGTCCATGTAAACACAGGTGGTTTTGACAACCATTGATCTTCCCTAAAATCCTTTACTCATCAGAAAGGAATGCAATATGTGTCTACAACAGAAAAATTTGTATCTCTTCACATTTTTGATCATATCCTCCTTAAACTCTTGAGGTTAGGGCCTATTTTCCCAGACTACCCTCAGAAAAGTAGAATCTGGAGTTTGTACCGAGAGGATATTCACTATCATTCAAAAGTTTCAAATCAGTAAGATTATTTTGAAAGAATGTAATACTTGTATTCAGCAAAGATGCATTAAATTGATCAAAAGTAACAGTAAAGGCTTTTACATAGTTTTACACTGTTATGTTATGTTTAAAATAAATGCTGTTCTTTTAAACTTTCTAATCAGAAAAGAATCAAATCAGCCTATTAGAATCATTTCTGAAGGATCATGTGACACTGAAGACTGGAGTAATAATACCAAATATTCAGCTTTGCATCACAAGAATAAATTACATAAAACAGTTATTTTAAATGATAATAATATTTAACAATTTTACAGTTTTTACTGTATTTTTGATTTTAAAAAAAATACAGCCTTCGTGAGGAGAAGAGACTTCTTTAAAGAACTTTAAAACTGACCCCAAAAAAGCATTTGCCACCTTTATAACAGATCCCAAGTCAATTAATTATTAAAAAAAAATTTGAAATGGTATTTAAAATCGGACATGATACCTATTGAGAGAGGATTATGACAATATTCTCCCAAAAAAATTCAGGTATACATGCTTACCAGGTTCGTCACAGTTTATTGTCGGGGTTCCAGGTGGAGTACGGGTTCCCGCTCTCTCCTGCCCCCTACTGTCCACACACCAGCAGTGACCTGTGGACCCGTGGCACTGCTGAGACCTGTACTGACCCTCATCATCACACTGAGGGATGAAGCCTCCCACCAGAGGAACACCACCGTTTCCACTCTGAAGACTGTCTCTGTGCTGCTCACACTGGGTCTTGGGACGACCTGGACGCACAGATACACCAGTGATTGTTATTCTTCTCTCTAGACACATGAGCTCAGCTCATTTGCATTTAAAGGGCCAGGCACAAAATGGAGCGTTTTTGCAAACCCTAAAAAAGTGACTTTAATATGATACATAAAAATATCTGTGGGGTATTTTGTGCTAAAACTTCACACACATACTCTGAGGACATCAGAGATTTATTTTACATCTTGTGAAAATGGCATTTTACCACCCCTTTAATCTTTAATGCAATGTTTGGTTTTATTCAAGCCTGAAAAATTTCTTAACACTAGAAACGTAGTACTTGTTAAGATGAGGTGGACAGTAGGCACTCTTACCAGGTTCGTCACAGTTTATTCTCGGGGTTCCGGGTGGAGTTCGGGTTCCCGCTCTCTCCTGCCCCCTACTGTCCACACACCAGCAGTGACCTGTGGACCCGTGGCACTGCTGAGACCTGTACTGACCCTCCTCATCACACTCAGGGACAAAGGCTCCTAACAGAGGAACACCACCGTTTCCACTCTGAAGACTGTCTCTGTGCTGCTCACACTGGGTCTTGGGACGACCTGGACACACAGATACACCAGTGATTGTTATTCTGCTATCTAGATATGGCAAAGGGCTCACCTGTGATGTAAGTCTATGGGATTTTATTAGCTTTTAAATTCACCAGGTACCAACTTGTAAGTTTGATTGCTATGAGAAGCAGCCCCATCCACAGTCTAATACCATTGGACCAAAATCCCGCTCCATAGCTGTATATTCAATTGGCTGTGATTTTATTGCTTAAAACAATATTTGATTTTATTCAAGTGTGAAAAATTGCTTGACATTGGAAACTTAGGACTTATTAGGACAGGTTGGCCGCGCACAGCACTCTTACCAGGCTCGTCACAGTTTATTCTCTGTGTTCCAGGTGGAGTTCGGGTTCCCGCTCTCTCCTGCCCCCTACTGTCCACACACCAGCAGTGACCTGTGGACCCGTGGCACTGCTGAGACCTGTACTGACCCTCCTCATCACACTGAGGGATGAAGCCTCCCACCAGAGCAACACCACCATTTCCACTCTGAAGACTGTCTCTGTGCTGCTCACACTGGGTCTTGGGACGTCCTTCAAGGTAAACGTACCAGAGATTATAGAATTTACTTGGAGGTTTAGGTCCCACAACTCTGGCTGTTCAAAATGTTCATAAAGAGCTCGTAAAATAAATTCATATATGAATTAGCTTTTATTAGCTTTTATTCACCTATAAACATTGATCATCAAACATGTTTATAGCGCTCAAATATGGTAAACGGAAACTCAAGCATGCTTGCTTGACATGCGACAACCAATGAGGTTCATTCGGGCATCACAAGCTGTGTGAGTGACTCACAGCCGAGCATTGAGCTTCTGCAAGAACTAATGAGGTTTGTTCTTACGCATCAAGCTATAGTTAGGCTTCTCTATATGTTCACTGATCAATGTTTACATGTGAACAAAACTCTATAAAAAATCTGGTTTTGTGTATCTTCAGAAGACTTGGATTTAACTTCTTGATTCATATCTATTTATGATCTCTTTATAAAAGTTTTGAAGTGTCAGAATTTTGGGAGAACAGACATAAAATGGAGTGAAAGCAATCTCTCCGATTTCATTAAAACATCTTCATTTGTGTTCAGAAGATGAACGAAAGTCTTATGGGTTTGGAACGACATGAAAGTGGGTAATTGATGACAGAACTTTCTTTTTAAATAACAACATTAAAAAACAAACAAAAAACTACCATTTTGAGGGTGGCACTGGAAACCATCTCCATGGTATCCTGGTTGGCACTGGCACTGGAAAGATCCCTGACCGTTGGAGCACAAGGCCTGGGCGTGACACGGCTGGTCACGACACTCGTCTACATCTGCACACACCACAAAACACAACACTCACTCCATAATTCAACAAATACAACATTAACCACATTCCTCAGGATGTTAGTCTGAGTCATTTTAGCTGTTGTCCAAAAGCTCCAAAACTCCCACCATCCCGTCAAAGACCAGAGAGCGCTAAACAGGAAGGAGAAGAGTTAACTGTCCTCTGACCCCCTTGTGTTGTTCAGCTGCGAGTCTCCTACGCACATTCCCTGAGTGAGGACATTGGGTCATTGTTTCAAAATACCCTCCCTTCCACAGGGTCTCTGGTTACCCCTGCCTCTCTCCCCAAAGCAAAGCCTTCACCTTCAGCATTCAGCTGAGAACATTTCAACTCCGTAACACATCAAATCCCACTGACAGCACACTAGCTTACTAATATACGTGTATATATACAATTAAACTCCTAATTGAATGACAATATCATTTTTTTATTCAAAGACCCCCAATTGACCCTTTGCAGGGAGCTTGATTGACAGGTGATCTGACCAATCATACTTCACCATTCGCCATTATGTCAGAGAAAGCAGTCAGGAGAGTTAGTAGATTAAAGGGGTGGTTTACAGTTTTTTTTCTTTCCATGATTGTGTTTATGGTGTGCAATATAACATGTATTCGTGGTTTTTCTTTTTTAAAAAGTCTTATTTTTCATAAACTTTACCTTTATTGTAAGCTGCTTTCTCCTCTGTCATTTGAACGACCAGTTTACATCCTGAGTCTATGAAACCACTCCCTCAGAAACAGGCAGTGGGCTCAGATTGGTTAGTTTGGGCCGGTGTGTTGTGATTGACTAAACTGAGTAGTGCACGTTGTCCGGATACTTCATACCCATTACTTTTATGGGTAAAAGTTGTATATGTGTTCCAGTCAAATGTAAATAATGGTGTCGATACTGCAGTATAGTATGTATGAGCCAGAATCAGACCCAGAAAGCGGCGATGAAGAGAGGCAAGCAGAACCTCCCTAAAAACGGCTCTTACGAAACGTTTCTGAATGGTAATTTGCTATATTTTTTTTAAACTTTATACACGTTTGCATTCACAATAGCATCAAACTAACTGGCTACTATTTACACAAATAGCGTTGACAAATCGAAAAATAACGTCATAAAGTATATATACATTTACAAAATTAGTACATATACAAATTCAGGTCCAAAATGTTTGTTCGCATTTGTCGTAGACACGAAATAGCATAAGTAAGTGGCTATAAAGCCAGCGCTGGCATTTGATAAAACTAAAACATTACGTCTGACATTACGCAGCACAGAGAGCTAAATTAGGATTGTAATTTTCAGGAACATAATCAAACATAAATTGTATCCATTGTTGACGAACTACAATGCCCACACCCGGAAGACCTTTTGCATATTCTGGAGGGAGTGTTGATGCAAATGTATGGGTTAGTGACATCTAAAACCCAGCTGTATTCCCAATCGAGTCGTTTTTGTAGGCATTAAACTTCCTGATTTTTAAAAGACGATATCTCTGCTTACATTGAACGTTCAGCGCTGCAACTTTGCAGATACTGTTCATGCACCAACAGCAACATTACACACTATTTAAAATGAAAAAAGTGAAATCGCAATCAACCCCCCCACTCCCCCCCCTTCTTAATATGGTGGGAGGATTTGAACTTGATAAACGGAGTGTACAGACGCCTATCTGCGGTTAAAACAACATTCCTTCTTATGTTCATTCATGTTTATTTGATGCTATAAATGAACTAGAAGGAAGAGATGATCGAATCACGAGAAGCTTTAACTGATCCTCATGACACATTAAAGAGCCACAAACGGTATTTATTGTTTAAATTTCTTTTTAAAAAATGACCAAATTTGAAAGGTGAGACTTTAATATGCTAAATATCAAAAGTAACCGAAAAGTAACCTGGTCTGTCCTGTCTGTCAGCATGTTGTCATGTATTTTTCACTGCGTGAGAACATGGTGTGTGTGTGTGAGAGCAGTGTAGCTTGTCGGACATACTGTAGCGACAGTAACTAAGGGGGGGGGCGGGTCTTTGCGAACGGTCAATTCTACTAACACATCAGTGGGTATACAATGGTCTTTGAATAATATCCAATGTGGTTGGTCGAGTTTTATTAAATCAGGGCAAAGGAAGCAAAAAAAGTTTCTTACCCTGACATGTGCGGCCATCAAATGCTAACTCAAATCCGCTCTCACACTGACAGCGATGGCTTCCGGGCAGGTTCACACAGTGAGAGTGAGCACCACAGGAGCTCAGACCTTCTGCACACTCATCCACATCTACAGGGAGAAAGAAACTGCTCAATTGCAAGCCATCATGCTCTCATTTGACCCAAGCAGACTACAAGATTCATTTTCTTGGAAGATAGGTGTCTAGAAAGCTGCGAGAGATGCCTTGGTGTGCATGTCAGTGAGGTGCCAGAGATAAAGCATGCTCTGAGATCCTGACGTTTGTGATGACAGAGAAAGATAGAAGGGGATCTCGTCCCTGCCGGAGTGCGTGGGAACAGGCCTGAGGCTCTGGGTGGGTTTAGAGCTGGTCAGCAGGAGACCTGGTTTTGATCACTGCTAATTACAGGGAGGGTAAGAAACCCACGGGCCCCCTCTCTTTCTCTCTCTCTCTTTCTTGATTTTTCTCTGCTCCCTTTCCTTGACCCCCTTATTATCTACTCTAGAGTGAAGAGTTCAGACAGGTGATAAAATGTTCCTCTAATAGGAACATGATGCCTGAAAACACACCTAAACACACTCACATTCACATAATCAAGTGCAGACAGTGCCTTCAGAGTAGCACTGGGAAATCTGATTCATTCTGATGAATCAGTTCATTCGGGTGGTTTCTTCCAGTCAGTTCTAGTTCTGTCAAATTAAGTGAATGAGGTTGTCAGATCATCTTTAACAAAAAAATGACAAAAGTGTTAATAATTATTACACAATATTTCTTTCTAACAGTTTTACTTTAAAGTAAAATCCCTTATGAGGCATAAAAATGTACACTGATTTAGACTGACAAAACAGCAATAAGTCATTCATTTTTTTTTTATGGTGTGTCCAGTTATGTGAATTTTAACTTCACAGGGCTGTCAAACGATTAATCACAATTAATCGCATCCACAATAAAAGTTTGTGTTGTTTACATAATATATGTGGTGCATTGTGTATAATTATTTTATATATATAAATACACACATGCTTGTATATATTTAAGAAATATTTTCATGTCTATACTGTACATAGATTTCTATGTAATTTATATTATATTTAAATATAAATATTTTACACATAAATCATATTTTTTCTTAATATACATACATGTGTGTGTGTATTTATATATACTATATACAAAATAATTATACAAAGTGCACCCACATATATTATGTAAACACAAACTTTTATTTTGAATGCGATTAATCAAATTGAAAATGAAATGGTCCAGCCTAGTATGGACCATTTCGTTTTTAGAAACTGTCAGCGTAACAGTTTGTTTTTGGACAGTTTATTTTTTTTAATCATATGACTTGTGATATTATGCAATATGAACTGCAGCAGTTTATTATTTAATAACACTTTCCCACCCGGAATGTTAGTTTTTAAGTGCAAGAAAGATTGTTAATTGTTAAGTTTGTTCAGATGGTATGTTCCAAAGAGCCAGTTCTAAAAGAAAAGATTCACTAAATCAAAAAAAAAAAAAAAAAAAAAAAAAGAATGAAAAAAGATTCATTCCTAGGCATTTTACATTTAATTTCTATAGTAAATTTGCTTTTTATCATTAAGTTTCTGATTAGAAAATATAGGTTGCGTCATGTAATTCTCCACAACAAAATACATAACATTGTTTCCAATATTAATATTAATTAATAATGATATATTTAATAATATTTATTTCACAATATTCCTTCCAACTGAACAAAATAGTCCCTTATGGTATGTTCACATACAGTGATTAGTCATCACATATCAATGAGAATATTTTCTTTCTGTTTTTGCAATGCTTTATATGTGTATCCAGAGATGCGACACAGCTGAGAAAATTTTTACTTCATTCAAACAAGCATTATGAAAAATATGTTTTTTTAATATGAAACATTTTAATTGTGATTTTCAATATGCATTGCTGTAATATATTCTATAACACTTTCCAATCCAGAATGTCATTTAGGTGCAAGAAAGCTAATTCTTTGTCCAATTAGAAAGACATCTTTTTTCCCCACTACCAATACATCTCAGTAGTGAATCACTTCATTGAATCAATTTGATCGCAATTCACACATCAAATTCTTGTCTCAATATCAAATATCATCTGGAATAGGGGTTCGCAAGACACAAAATGCACATCTGTGTGAGTACATTGGGAGTATTTTCAGGAGGGGAGGTGTGATTTGCTCTCACCCCTCTTCAAACTAGGAAATATTAGGTGGTCTCAGCCCCCCCAACTAGCTTGAAGCTGAGGATGTGGCCTCTGCATGTGCAGCTCAAACAGAAATGCCACAGCAATGTGCCTTTGCTTACAAATGTTCCCCAGACTCACCGCAACCCCACAGATCTCCCACATTCCACCTAAAGAGTGTTTAGTCTTTCTGTTGTTTGACTTAGTAACAGTGGGAGGAAGAAGATGAGAGAGGAACGGGGGGGTTTGTGGTTAGTGAATCACGTTCATGATTCACAGAGGGTTTCCTCTACTTTGCGTCTGACTCATCGGATGGGAAACGTCTGGTCGTGCTAATATACTACAGTGGTGACGACCCCACTTCTGGACGACCTGTAGTGTTGATGTTAGGCAGATGCATTGCTCTAATGAAGGAAGACGAATGTTTTGGGTTATTCTCGAAGTATTCCAGACCCTCGACTGATTAAACAGAGTGTCAAGGGCCTGGAATAGAATTTACGGCTCAAACGTGCGTGTTTGCTCAAGGCAGAGGAGATATCTCCATATAACTTCTCTTACCATAACAGTTGCGCCCGTCTCCACTGTAACCTGTGGCGCACTGGCACAAGAACAGCTGTCCCTCGCCCGGCACGCACAGTGCGGTTGTGTCACAGTCATGATTTCCGGAGTAACAGGGGTTCACATTTTCTGGCTCGGGTTCTCCAGCTGAGAAAAGATGTGCAGGCAACAAAACTATAAATAGGAACACAATAAAACTGAGCTAATATCACAACAAATAATTGCTTATGTAATATCAATGGATAACAACTGAATCAGTCCCATTGAAAACTTAGCAAAGGGAAACACTTCTATAAAAGGGGTCAAAAGAGGTCAATAGTTAAAGGGATACTCCACTTTTTTTTGGAAATAGGCTCATTTTACCACTCCCCCAGAGTTAAACATTTGAGTTTTACCGTTTTCGAATGTATTCAGCCGATTTTCTGATATTTAGAAGAATATCAGTAATCAGATAGTTTCTGGTCTCATTGACTTCCATAGTAGGAAAAATATACTATAATATACTATATATACTAAAGAACTGCAGCGCACACTTTATGTGCACACAACATTATTGTCCACTGGTGCGTATTTCTCCCTAATTTTATAATTGAAAAATCTTCAAGACTTTTAGACATTGAAACAAAGCATTACAAAGTATGATTCAAAGCAAAAACAAATAATCAAACAAAAAATAAAAAGAACATTTCAATCCATATCGACTGCAAAATCAGATTCATTTCTGCCTCCTTCCACCGATATATTGAATCAATACAAAACATTATAGCCTATTGACTTTCACTGTATGGATAAAAAAAAAACCACTGATACATTTCTCAAAATATTTTCTTTTGTTCCGCAGAATAAAGAAAGTCTTACAGGTTTGCAAAAATATGAGGGCCAGAAATTTATGAAATTTTTGTGTGAACTATCCCCTAAATTTACCGAAAAGCGCCTTTTAAAAAAGAAAATTGTGCCAAACATGACTATGGCAAGGAAAAAGGTCCATATGATGAACTATATGTCATTCAACACTGAAATGGATATTTCTGAAATGAATTTTTACTCCCAGAACCCCACAGAGTAGCTTATTATAAACCAGTTTATAATTTTGATTGATTATACTGGTGTTTGTTCAAGATACCAAACTAATTCATTGTGATGGGGAACACATACGTGCAATGTGACTCAAAAAAAAAAAGTGAGTCATTGCAGATGTCTTAAAACCTCCAGCCAAAGTCAGCACCCTGAGAGGAGGTTTCTTAAAAAAATAAGAAACCTCTAGGAATAAGGAACTTTGCTATTATCACAGCCATAGGGAATACTGGGACGTCCGCGCCGGACATGACTTTATTCTTAGTAATGCAACCACAGACCTTGAGTAATGAGAGTCTTTATGATAAATGTGCATTCACAGGTGTTAACATATGGAGAGGTGTGAACACTTTGTTTCCCGCCAAACCAACACAATTTCAAATGGTCCGTATGTTATTTAAATTTGACCTTGGGGGTCAAAGTACCTGACCTGGAAAACACAACACCTTTAAAGGGGTCTTTAAACACAGGGTGGTTCACACACCATTACTAAAACTACAAGTGACATTACCAAACCCCTTTAGAACAAGGCAACAGGACTTCGTTGTGCTCCTACCCATTAAGCCTAGTTCACACTACGTGATTTTAAGCCCGATTTAAGCCCGATTTGCAAATCGTTGAGTCGCCGACAAGTCAGGGTGTTATCGCGTGCAAATCGCGGGCGATTAGCGGACGATTAACGCTCGCCAATCAGTTAGTGTGAAAGAGCCAACAACGCATCAAAGACAGCTCGCAGACAGCTCGCAGACAGGTCACCGAGCTCAGAAAAATATCTAGCATGCTAGATATCTCGAGCAGTCGCGCGACTCAATCTCAGTGATGTCATGAGTACAGCCAATCATAGCAACGCATGGGTTGAGGACACCAGGTAAATCTTACTTTTTCTTTTTGCATTTTTTTTCTCAGAGCAGATCGTCGAGCAAACAGTGTGCAGCACTAGTTTCTGTCTGACGTCCATATTCGCGTGTTGTGTTCTTCTCTGCAGTTTCGCGTCATTTCTGGTTCGTTTTATTGCGTGGTTTTTCGTTACAAAACATGGTTTCTAGACCAGATAGAATCGTGTTGTTGTCAACTCGTTATTTGTTTGATTATTTTCAGGATTTAGACCGTATTATAGTACTGAAACAGCTCTCATTGAGTCACAAATGATATGCTCTTATCATCCGATCGTGGTTGTATCTCTATGTAGTGCGTTGTTAACTCGTGTAGTGAGTTACCTCCTGTTGTGGATCAATCACGTTGTGTTGTGTGGTGTGAACAGCTAAACAACTTGAACACTCATGATTTCACTGAGAGCAAGTCATGTAGTGTAAACTGCACAGTTCAGCCCGACATTTTAAAATCATGTAGTGTGAACTAGGCTTTAGGCCTACCATGAGGGACCCATTGTTGGGACCCTTGGGCCATGCGGACTACCTTCACCCCCACCCAACGCCTACTCATCACGCATTAAAAACAGCTTGATTTCCTCACCCTAGGCCACGGACCAATTTGGCCAATTATTAAAGCCAGACAGGAAGACTTTTGTTTGAAGTGAGAGAGAATAAGAAAGACGGTCCCCTTTAAAGTGACTCCACAGGGGAGGGGGAAAAGTGGAGAGAAACTACAGGACAAACGTTGCCAAAGTTGGTCCGGGGGGTTCTTTTTAACTTTGTGCTAATTAAAGGGACTGGGGCAGACCAGTGGGGCGGAGCGCTGGTTAACACAAGACTTTGAGGAAAACGAAGGGGGTGGATGCATCAGGTGGGAAACTGTTGTCGCAAGTGGGAGAGAAACACTCCTCATGTAGTTCACACAGCTAAACTTATGTTAAGAGTGTGTGATGGGGGCTTCTGGAGGACTGAGCTTATGCCAGAAGAAACAGAACCCAATACACAAGCTTAAAGTAATTGACAGACATAAAACACTGACTATCAATTTTCTACACATTCATCTAAACAAACCCAAAGCTTGATTTACACAATTATGACATGTTTCTGGACCAACATCCACCTATGCAACCAAAAAAAAAAAAAAGCTAAAGCATAAACCAATGCTTGCTTTACTTAAGTTAAATATATGGTTCCACATTTGAAATGTCCAAGGTGAATTAATCTTAAGAAATGTTTGTAAAAATGTCTTTCAAATCTATACACGATATTTTATTTCGTTTAAGAGAGAGTTTGTTAATAATTTATTTAATAATTCTGCACCAACTGAACCATGTTTAATTATACATTTGATATCTACAGAATCAGGCTCTTGTGGTTGGACAATTTCTCATCATTATTTCTTCATGTAATAAAAAATCATAAATAAGATAAAAAAAAAATATATATAAAAAAAATAAATAGAAAAAATCAAAATAAAATAAAATAAATGCTGCCAAAATGGAAGAGCCTGTTTCGGTGGTGAAGAAGCATAATCATACTATTAATGTATGTATGGCGGTGATATTATTTTACGGATTCGGTAGCCCAGACAGTTGAGTAAGGAGCGTTAGAAATGCCAGGGTCATGGGTTTGATTCCCAGAGAATGCATGAACTGATAAATTGTACACCTTGAATGTAATGCAACTTTCAACAAAAGTGTCTACCAAATGCAAAAATGTAGATAAGAGCCAGTGTTGTAGTCGAGACCACCTCACTCGAGTCCAAGTCGACACCGAGACCAGAGAGAGTCGAGTCCGAGTCAAGACCGAGTCCATAGAGAGTCGAGTCCGAGACCAGAGACGGTCGAGTCCGAGTCGAGACCGAGACCAGTGAGGGTTGATTACCTAATTTACTTTTATTTACTTAGAGAAATCCTTTTTTTTTTTTTTTTACTGAATTTACTTAAGAGTTTAAAAAATATGATCAGTTTAGGGTAAAAAGGCCACATAGTAGGTGGTGTTAAAAGTAATTTTATTACAATTTGTCATGCGCAGTTGCGCACTAGAAAATCACCAATCACTGGGCGTGTCAATCAATTTAAAGAAATATTTTATTAACATACATTAATAATCATGAAAAATATTTTTAATTGAACTCGAGTGGACTCGGGAATAATTCCGAGTCCTAAAAAAAAAAATGTTCGAGTACGAGTCAATTCCGAGTCCAAATGGACATGTCCATGACAAGACCAAGACCATTAAAATATGGTCTCGAGACCGAGTTCGAGACGAGTCCGAGTCTTGAGTACTACAACACTAGAAAAAAAGCTTCAAGGGTGTTGCCAAGATGGCCACCGAGTGAGCGGACTTCCCTTAAAGGGACCCTGAACAAATTCCACCAGCCCTGGTTGTGGAAAAAAAAAAAACTGCTTTAAACACCATCAACCACATGAAACTCTAACAGCTGGTCTGAAATGACTAAGAACTGAGATCCAGCCACATACCTCTTCATGTTCACAGTCAGCAGGACCATAATGACATGTTATATGGTCACACGAGCGTGTGAATCCACCTCAGTCTAATCTAATATGCTTTTAGTCAGATCAGATCTTATTAGCCTTCAGCACTGGTCTAATTATTACACGTCAGTCGCGCCGAACAAACTGGACATACAGTGGCAGCTGTGTTTTCCAGCCTCGGCCAGAGTCCATGCATGGCTCTCTTGGGTAGAGGGATTCCGGGGTGTCCTTCTGTTCCCACAACATCACTCTGCAACTATTCCTCAACCCGGCCCCCGTTAGGGATACTTCGTATGAGTTAACACAACAATAACAGAAGTATGAAACTTATCACACCCACTATTTAGGTTATATATCAACATCTGGAGGAGACTATGCTCCCCGAACACTAAATACTCTCACAGGGCATGATCTGGCTAAGAAACAACTAAGAATCGTATTATTTATTACATAAAATCCAGAAATTTCAGTTTACAGTGACAGGAATTATCAATTATGGAAAAACAATAATTGTATGGCATTCCAACTAGGGCTGCACAAATAGCAAATTTCTGGACGATATACAATGGCTGATTAATGGACATTAAAATCCTGCCCTATTTTGTCTAAAAAAAAAATAAAAAACACAAAATCAAGCATTTTAAATGCTATAAGAGAGAATTTAGGCATTTAGACAAAGGTAATCTAATATAAATGTACAAAAAGGGGAAATGAGAATGAACAATATACAGTATTGGCCAATGTACATTCAATTTTGACTGATAATTATATATGATATATGGTGATATATTGGCCGATCCAACTTGAACACAGGGTTCAAAGCAGTCAAAATGACCAAAACGAGGCTTATTTAATGTGTTTATCATCTAATGGTAAGATAACATTCATTATAATGCAATGTTGTATCTTCACGTATGAACTTCCATAATCCATAACAAATCCATAGCAAGCGAAAGGAAGGTCACATCAGGTTTTGCCGATTGAGCAACTCTAAGAAACTGGATCTTATTCGACCCACAGACTAGATACAACACAGCTGGAGATACGCACATCCCAACCTCACTTATCATCCTAAAGTCAGCGTTTACAGCATTAGCCAGGAACTACATGGCCATACAAAGCATAATGTGATGTGCCTTTGTCCCACTAAAACATTTCTTGGGAACAACACAGCCTTACAAGGTCACAAATCGAGTGGGGTTAAAAAAGAAACGCTTGATTTATTCCTTGAGGGAACTCATTGGATAAAGGGATTTGTAATAAACTGAACACGCAAAGCCCACCAAACTGCTACAGGCTCACTTCACAGGCGTAGCTCATTTTAAGTACAGACCTTTCTCTCCAATTTGCAGTCTAATGCCGGGCCGTGGTAGAAAGCAGCAGGTGGTTCGGAGTGGTTATCTTAGACCTCCTATTTTGCATGATGGGAAGGCAGCTGAAAGCAAGCCAGTGTGTGAGAGCCAGACATCTCATTGCCACATCAGTCAGCATGTTAATAAAGAAACTATGCCAAAAATGAAGGTCCATCTAAACGAAGGATGAGAAGCAGGCAATATACAAAGAGACTCAGTTTCTCTTAGATTAGGAAGGTTTTTCTACAGAAAATGAGAAGAAGACACCAAAACAATCAACTGATAGGCTTTTTACATTTGAAACTGTCATTCTAAACCCTGAGTTTAATCAAAATAACTTGACCGTCAGGTGCAAATAACAGACTTCTCTTTTAGGTGATGGATGTAAGACTTCTCCAATTACTTAGACTGCTTAGATTGCATTCATCTGCTTCCTCTTTTGAGTATGACGCCCACATTTCACAATCCAATCAACAACTTTATTATGTCTATAATCTGTTACGCTTGGAAAAACGCATCTGTCACAGGGGCGTGTCAAGAAGGGGGCCCACTGGCCCACACTGGAATATGATTGGCCCCCCCCTGGTGCCCCCCACAACATCATTGGGCTAGATTTACTGTCAACCTGACAATGCCCAATGCCATTGGATCAGAGCGCAGCCAATCACTGCTTGATTTGCGATTCGCAAAGTGGAATCACGGTCTGTGTTTTTCAAACAGTAGGAGAGAGAGACACCTCGACGTGTCACTTATGGTATATACACACTGAATTACAGTATAATGTCGCACCGTATGTTAGTCTGATTACTTTCATGTGTGACTGATCAAGCCAGTAACATTAGATTAGCTAATCTACCAATCCACCAACTTGTTAGTGTAAAAACGGAGAATTAAAACGAATTCGATCTCCGTCCACACCAGCGTTTTATCTGCATATTAAGCCGCGTTTCCACCGCAATTACCAGGAACTATTTGTCCCAGGAACTTTTTTTGCCCCAGACTACTTGCGTCATCGCGTCATCTTACTTGCTTACATCGCGGACTTAAGTACCGGTTCGGGGCGGGAAAACTATGTAGTGAGGTTTAACTGCGTGCGACTGCTCCTCCCAGTCTGCGCGTTTGTTTTGAGTGCGTTCTGAGTTTTGTATGGAGGAGATTCAAGCTGTGCTGCTTTTGTGTGCGATTAGTTTACTAACGAGGTAATTAACAAAACGGCAGAACAGAGACGAGCACCCAAAGTGTATTCAGAAAGCTCGTAATGCTAGATATAAAAGTAGACGTTTAGACGTTTGACCGTAAGATGGATGGGACGAAGCGCACCATCGGGCAGGGAGAACAAGTGGTAAGAACCAATCCGCATGTTCAGTGCACAAGTCCCATCCCGAAAGTTCCCGAACTCTGAAAGTACTACCTCGCCAGCAGGGACTTTCTGGGGGGCCTTGATCTCCGTCCACATTAAAACGACTGAAAACGCGGATCACGTGACTATTCACCAACACTGGGCATGCGCGTGCTAGTGTAAACAGGAAGCAGGTCATGTGATGGGTGGCTGACGAATCAGGGAAGGACACGTCATGACTGATGACACCCAATCAAAGAGCCGAGCGTGAGCCTGTGCATCATCGTTTCTAAAGTCCTCCGTTTTGTCCCGTCTACAGTAAAACGCCCTCCGGAGATTCAAAACGCGAAACGAAGCTGCAGCGTTTCTAAATTTCTGCGTTTTAGCCCTTCGTTTTTTACATTTTAGTCTGGGCGTGAGGTGCAAACGTAGCAAAAGGTCTCCGTTTTTAAACGAAAAGGCAGTAGTGTGGACGGGGCCTCACATAAATTTAAAATAGATACATACTGTATTACACTATCTGTTGTTTTAAGCACAAAAGGCACTATAATATATATAAAAAAAAATAAAATAAAAAAAGCTGTGCCATGGTAAACAATCAAATGTGAGAACATTAAATACAATGTAAAATACAAAAGGATTTTCAGGCTCTTGTTTAGTGCCACATTTAATACCATCTATATTAGAGCACTGTGGGCATTGCAAAGATTGTTTAAATCATATTTAATATTTTCTATTTTTCTAAAGTATTTATTTCCAGTTGAATTTTCTGATTTCCCATGGCCCTGGTTCTTGGTCCCCCCTGTGCCCCCTCCATTTATAAAATCCTGGAATCGCCCCTGATCTGTCGCTACTTCAGCTTCTTCTCTACTTTAAACTATGCTGGTGTTTTAACAGGGTCTTCATACCCTGTGACAGTGCTGGCAGCCTACCTCCGACAGGGCCGATCTTGTTGGTGATGGCATATCGAAGGATACGCTCCTCTTTGACGTACATAACAAATATGCGCTCCATTCTCAGCTCTTGGGTCTCCAGTCGGCTGCGGTCCCCGTGACTGCAGTCCCTGTATGTGATGTTCTGTTTGACCTGGAAAGTGAGGGTCTCTGCTCCGTTTTCAGCAGACACGACTGTAAACTCCCGCGCTGATGATGACCTAATCACTGAGAAGGATAGAAAAACAAGATTTTAGAGAGTTCAATCAAAAGTTAACTTTAGCTGGACAATAACTTTATTCTAGAGCTGCTTTAAAGCCTGCTTTCAAACAGTCTACAGTATATTGTTAAAAGCGCTATATAAATGAAGGTGACTTGACCTGATTAGAGGAAAGCAATTCATAACAAACTTTGGCTCTACAATTCTAGACCCAAAATCCCACAGGATTTAATTGTTAAGTATCCTCATTGTTGGGCAACATGAGAACTGCTTTTATTTAGGGTGCAAGATCAGACAGAGCTTCCTTTGAAAGGAAATAGAGGAGACAGGAGACGTCACAAGATTAATTTTTTGGCTTACATTTCCCCCCTTTTGTATTATACTGAATTACATTTTTTAAATAAGTCATTTTCAAAAGGTATGGTGAATTCAAAATCTTATATCATTCAAAAGGTTTGGGTCAGTACATTTTTTCAAGTCTCTTATGCTCACAAAAATCAATTTATTTGATCGAAAATACAGTAAAACTAATATTGTGAAAGATTATTAAATCTTAAAATAATGTTTTATTGTAATATATTTCAAAAATGTAATTTATTTCTGTGATGGTGGCAAAGCTCTAATTTTACTTCAGTCTTCAGGGTCACATGATCCTTCAGAAATCATTCTAATATGCTGATTTGCTGAAACATGTATTATTATCGTCAATGCTGAAAACAGTTGTGCTACATAGAAAACAGAATTAAGCAAAACTAAGATTATATATTATAAATGTCTTGACTGTCACTTTTGATCAACTGAATAAGTCCTTGGTGAATACTGACCCTAAACTTTTGAACGGTAGTACAGTACTGTATGTCATTCATTCATATTGTGTAATTTGATCTATTTAAGTTTATTCCATTGACAATCCTGGTAATAAATATAAAACAATATTTTTGAAATCAGGAAAAATGCTCAGCAGTCGAATCAAACAAAGATGGACAGATATAATTATTCCCTAATTCCTCCCCTCAGAACTTACATGAAGGATAATACTGATAAGTGTCCTTGAATGGCTCCATTTGCACTGTGGCACCAGGAGGGATGAAGGGAACACTGCCTTGTAAATGAGTGTCCACAATGAGGTAGTTCTGGGTATCCAAACCCGTAGCTGTCTGGACGATGCTGAGACGCTGGTTACCGGGATAGAAGGTCACATCGGCACGGCGAGTGAATTCGGCACCTGTGAAACAGAAATGTTGCTTTTCAACAAAACTATTTTAAAGGTCGTTAAAAAGCAGTGTTGTGGCTCACTCATTTTACTGCAAACAAATATTAAGTCAAGAAATAAGATCCAGATGGGGGTTGTGACCCTTATAATGGTGTTTGATGAATGGTGTTTGGAAAAAAAACAGGCTTTTTCATGCAAAGTAAAAACATGTTATCATACAATTGAGCACCTGACTTAAATTAGGGGAAATGTTTGTTGAACATGCCTTGGATATCAGACTAGCAAAGCCCTAGTGGGACTATATTAGTGAGAACAAAACCGCTAAGCCTAAAATCTCACAGCAGGAGGCCATATGTTTTAACAAACATGCAACACCATAAAAGAGGTAGAAAATGAGATCATGACGGCCTCACCGGTGATACTGAAGCCATTAAGGCTGTTTGGCAGCTCTAGGGCGAAAAGCCAACCAAACAGACCTCCAATGGGGGCCACGGGCATAAGGGCCCAGCCCACCGGCTCCGGGACCTCACTGATGGCAGTGTACGCTCGCCCATCACCAACCACGATGTAGGCGTGCAGGTCGATGCTGTCCAGCTGCACTGCTGTACCACCCACCAGCACGGTCCCTCTGACCTTCCCATTCACACGATGAGGTGCACCTGAGGACAAGGTGAAGACCAATTCATGAATATAAATTTTCGTGGATTGCTAATTAATTCCCGGAGTCAAGAACTAAATCTGGGAGGTTAAAATAAGGATTAAGTATGTCACTTTTTATGTTTTTATTAAGTGTGCTGCAGAGATGAAGTTTTTTAAACCAATCTCAAAGTAATGGAACGTCCAAGTCCTCCTTAAAAGATTGCCTGTACTTGTTGAAAATTACGTGTTGAGTCGTAATTAGGACATCCTATGCGTTCAAGTCACTTGGCTTTTTTATGTTTTTGTTAAATTTATGAAGGGGCATTGAAAAGAATCATTGTATATTTTCTTGTAATTGTACAATACTGTCGATTTTTGTACATGCAACTACTTAAACCATTTTTTTTTTTTTAATTTACAATCAAATTATTTATTTCAACAGATTTACCAACAATACAGCCACTATTTTCTCACTGACATGCCCCCGACTCAGAAAGTCGGACTCGGAAACTCTGAAAATTCTGAGTTTCCCACTTGTAATTGCGACCTTGTGCTGGTTCAACTCGTAAACACACACAACATGACTTGAGTGCACCATTATCACCACCCTGGTTCCCTCAACAAAAAGCCAAAAGTGTTTATTCCATGCTTGGTTTTTGGATTATTGCCCTCAAAAGCTCTAATTTGTCCAGTTACTCAGCTGTTTCAGAGTGGTTTTGGAAGGTTTTCCGTCTCCACCACCTCCCTCACAGGCCACACAAAGCTCCAACTGTTCACACGCGTATCCAACAGCTGAGGAAGCTTTTCCACTGAATATTTTCTCTCAGAAACAAATGCCTGTCATTCAGTACAAGCCAGACGTGCCGCTTTGAAACGGGGCTCAAGTTTTCTTGCACACATAGGCTTGTAGTGGATGCTCACAGGTAGATTACAGTCACACAAGGCCAATGTGATGTCATTATCTTGAAAAGATCCTGTTACCCCATGAGAGCCGCAGAATGATTCACTAGGGAATTCCTGTCCAAGAGATTTTCCAAAAGATCAAGTGTTTCCGACATAAAACCTCCCACAAATTTGGCATGTCAGCCACAACTATTACGGCAGAGACTAAGTTGTGGGTATTACCGCAGCCACTTAACACAAGTGTTCGTCAATTACAGACAATTAGCACACGAGTGAAGCTGTTAGTAAAAGTTTATGCTAGGAGATGTGGCTAGATTTGACAGAAAACAACTGCATGGAATTTGCATACCAACGTGTGTGCCAAATCGAAGCTGTATCTACAAATTCCTTTGCATTACAAGAATAGATGTTTTCACCCTTAAAAATGCTGTGTTGGAAAGAGAAACATTGGTAATATGTCCCCAGAGGTGTACTGCAAATGTTGTTCATACTTTCAGAACAAGGTCATGTTATGTGTGGCTTTTACAACGGCTCTTTTTACAACATTCCCGCTCCAGTCTTACCGTTTGGCAGGCAGTGGCGGCCGTTGCCGTAGAATCCTGGGTTGCAGTGGCAGCAGAAGCCAGTGGAGTAGTCGGTGCAGTATGCGTTCTGACTGCACTGCTGCTGCTGAAGGCGCTGGCACGTCTCTTTACTATCAGTCGAGTAATGGATCACTGCAGGAGAGACACGGAAAGACTGCTTGTAAATAGGCTAGTAAAGTCAAACTTATCAATTTTTTTAAGTTCAATTCCTACACAATTTTTAATTCTTTCTGTATTGTTTCGTAAATTAGGGATGCACCGATATGAAAGTTTTTGCCGATACTGATAACCGATAACTCTTTATATTTGAAAGCCGATAACCGATATTTTGGCCGATAGATCTAAATCCAAATGTTTATAGAATTTTTGAGAGCCTAATTACAAAAACCAAAGTGTCATCATATCCCAAGCACACAATTATAATGATGTTCTTACTATACTTGTATGTAGCCTATATGATAGACTTGCATGTTGCACTCAACTGTATTTTCCTTTTCAAAAGTGATTACAATCATATTTTAAGCAATTCTAAACCATAACGGTGAACAGTGCACATCTGAAATGTCTCAGCGGTCAAATTTTCTTATTGGGCCAATAAAGATAACATTAAAAATGAACATATATCGGCCGATACCGATATGGTCACTTGATACTTAAATATCAATCAAATAATCACAATACTTCATCAAAGTAAAAGTGGATTTAAAAAAACTACTGACCTATTTACTGATATACAAACATTAAGATTGGAGTGAAAAGGAAATTCAAAAGAGGAATAAAATTGAAAAAAAATTAAATAATAGAATAAAATTAAATAGAGGAATAAAATTAAAAAATAAATAAATAATGGAATAAAATTAAATAGAGCAATAAAATTAAATAAAATTAAAATTTCTTATCAGGACAATAAAGATAACATTAAAAATTAACAAATATCGGCCGATATCGATATGGTCACTTGATACTTGAATATCAATCAAATAATCACAATAATAACAATACTTTATCAAAGTAAAAGTGGATTTAAAAACTACTGACCTATTTACTGATATACAAACATTAAGATTGGAGTGAAAAGGAAATTCATTTTGTGTAAAATTGTGTAAGTTTCTGGTGTAAATGTTTATGTTGTTCTTTTGTGCTCTTGTGTTAACATTAAATTTTAATTTGCATAAAACAAATTATACAATTTGGCCAAACTTTCACTAAATGCCAGTGGTTACTGTTGCTAACTTAATCAATCTTTACAGACCATCTAATAGAAATTAACGAAAATTTCCATTAATATAGCATAATATTCATTAAAATGCTCATAAGTGATAAAAATAGATTCAATGTCACTTAATATAAAAGAGATCTCAAGGGTATATTCACCATACCCTTGAGATTGGCATGGGGAGATGATTTTTTATTCCTCTTTTTAGTCAACTTTAGCATGGGTGTTTTTACTTATGCTAAGCACTGTACATTGGAAAAGAGCAAAAGCTTGTCTGAGAAGACATACGGCAATTAATGCTAAAGCAGGATTGGTCCGTAACATATTTAGGGCAGGGCTTAGTGAAGGTCAAATTAGCAAAGGTTCCATCTGTATAAATCAGTATCGGTTAAACTCCATTAAACACAATAATTAAACTCTCACCTCCAGAGTCAAAGTTCACTTTCTCTTCAACACTGAACACTTGACCACCAGAGGGGTGAGGTGGGGCGTCCTTCACACCATTGGGGTACACCTGCAGAATTGCATGTTTTGGTAATGGCCGCTGGGGCTGGGTCACGTCCTCCGGGGGAAGATTACGGGGATCCGGATGAGGGAATTCGCCAGGACTTGACGCTGACGGCTGAAGTGGAGATTGACCAAAAGGTCCCTCCTGGTTGAGACGCTCCAGTAGGGAGGAGTCCTCCTCTGGCTCAAGGAACTCTGTTGTGGTGGGATCCTCTAACTCTGGATCGATGGGGTACTCATCCTCCTCTGTGTAGTCTTCATCAGGAAACACGGCGTTCTGGACTGGGGGAGCTTTGGTTAAAACAGCCTCATGCTGTGCAGGAACCACATTCTGGAAGGAATATCCGTTTCCGACGTGGAAAAGCCAAACTCCAGGCTCTCCTATGTTTCCCTTTCTGAGGAAAATTATAATATAAAATTATTAAATTATTAATCAATCAATGAATACTTTTATTTAGAAAAGATGCATTTATTTGATCAAAAATGACTAAAATATTAAGCAGCACAACTGGATTCAACACTGAAAATAATAATTAATATTGAGTAATAGCAGCTGAAAATTCAGCTTTCCCATCACAGGAATAAATAACATTTTAAACATAAAAATAGAAAACAGTTATTTAATAATATTTTACATTTTACAAAAGTTCTTTTTAGTTATTGTATTTCAGGGGAAGTCTTACTGGTAAAGGTTCTTGACGGACTGCTCGTTGCTGGTGACGCTGTAGTAAGGCCCGTCTGTCCGAGAAAAGAAGAAGTAGGGCAGCTCTCCTCTGGTAAAGCCCACACGAGCAGGAAGCTCAATTTCGACATTGTAAGATTCTTTGGGCCGTGTCCCAAAAAACTGCAGGCCATCCTCAGGGTATAGAAAGAGCGCATAAGTATCCTTCTCATTGTACGCAAGCACCACTTGGAACGTGTTTATCTAAAAGAAAGAAGAGATGGCCATTACTCTGGGCTCCAGAATTCTGTGCAGCACTTTAGAAGGTAATAAAAAGACTTACAAAACATATCACCTGTAAATATTCCATTACTGTAAATCTATCTAACATGTTTAACTAAAGAACTTCTTTTTCCTTACTTTAGGACAAAGTGACCTCAAAGAGATTTGCTTTCTGCGTACATCAATTGATTCTGGAAATCTCAACCATTAGAATACAGCCATAACCCATATATGGTGTTTCTAAAAGCTTCACTGATTTTACAAGCCAAGGTGACCCATCAAATATGCCCCCCACTCTTTTTGGCCCCAGTATTAAGATGTGTTTTGGTCTATCAGATCACAAGTAGATGAGGGAGACAAATTCCATTTTACACCTGGAATTTTGTCCACTTTCAACCACTTCTGTCCTGATTTCTGTGAGGAACTAACTCTAGAAGGAAATCTCTTGAACTCTCGCCTCAGGCCCAGAAGAAAGAAAAGAAAAAGTCGAAGAAAGTCGTTATTTTTGTTTTATTTCCGCAGAAAAAGTATTCTCGTCGCTTGATAAACTTATAGTTGAGCCACGGTAGTCACATGGAATATTTAAACATTTTCTTTCTTCAATGACTTTCTGGGCCGTCAAGTTCCGATCCCTTAGGAGCCTATATATAGCAGTGATCCACCTCTCAAATTTAATCAAAAATATCTGGTACAGCATGGGGGTGAGTAATTAAAGTTAAAAAAATGTTAAAAACACATGTGTGTTACTACCTCTGGAAGTGGTCAAAATTGACTACCTAAACTTGAGACGTTTTAAACCCAGATTATACCGTCGTCCACTTGTGATCGATAAAAAAAAAACAAAAAAAAACTGGTAACACTTTATTTTGATAGTCCACTTTAGACATTCTACTAACTATAAGTAACTTTTCAACTACATGTGAACTAAATGTCATTAGAGTATTAGTAGATTGTCAGCTTAATATCTGCTAACACTTTATTTTGTTGGACCCCCAACAGACATTCAACTGACTATGAGTAACTTGGCGACTACAAGTAAACTTATTCTCCTAACCCAAAGCCTAACACCTAACCATAACCTAACAGACTACTAACAGTCTACTATAATATATTAATACTCTAATGAGAGTTAGTTGACATGTGGTTGAAAAGTTACTTATAATTAGTAGAACGTCTAAAGCGACTATCGAAATAAAGTGTAACCAAAAAACTTAATACCAGGTATAAACCTGGTTGTTTTGTTGTTTTTCATACCTGGTTTTAGCTAGTCATACCTTGTGATCATATCACATCATATCTGCCATGTCAACTTTGGCAGATAAGATGAAGAGGACCAGAGAATATTAGCCAGTGTTATTTTATCATTATTATTTAGATACAAATATAGTATTTATTCATATTTTTTAGCTTTCATACATTTATACATTTTCAATTTTTAAGTTTTAGTAATTTTGTTGTGTTCCTCAGTCATTTTTATTAGTATTTGTTCCTTAAAATATCTCTATTATTTCGATTTTATTTAATTTTTATTTTAGTCATTTTAGTACTTCATCTTAGTTGAAAAGGCAACATTTCCCATTTCTCTCTCGTTTTATTCCAGCTTTAGTTAAATTAACATTTTTTAATAGTTCACTGCCCAACTAGCCTCTCAATTGTGAAAGCACTTACATGTAAAATCAACATCAAAGGTATTTTCAATCCATTTTACATTCATAATGTAAAATAATTCCAAATTAAATGAGCCTTGATATACAAATAAGGATGCTTGGTGCAGATGCTGCATAAATGGAGAGAGTTACATTAGTTACATTTTCATCAAAGATTGTGAAAGCGAGCATTTTTTCTTCTTCTGAATAACTTGTTGAGCTGTTCCCAATAACGTAAGGAATGTGTATTTTGAAAATAAACTGTCTATTTTTTAAGCAAAACATCCAAATGATATTCAACCCAGATATTACTGTAAGATGCCCTTCCCCCTTTCCAGCCTCTCACGTACACACACACAGACACACACACAGAGGTTGTGTGTGAAATTCCTCTCCTCTGTTTAGTAATCCAAGCTGTCCCCGAGTAGAGCTATCACCTCCACAAAACAACCCCCAATTCCAGAGAGACAATGCTGCATCTGGCTTTCAGAGAGCCTCGGGCTGCCTCATTCCCCAGCATGCATCCCTCCTCGAACCCCTCACCCAACCCTGCAGCCTTCGGCTTCAAACTCCTAATTGCAGGACCACACTGCCTCTGATCAGAGCAGAAACACACCCATAAACAAGATCGTTTAAAGATGTTATGGTGCCAAAAAGATATCAGACCCCCACAATGTAGGGGTTTATTAGCTTGAGATGCACTACATCAATATTATCAATAATATTACAGTAATCATCATCACCATCATAACATCAATACAATCAGGGCCGGCGCTCCGCACACGCACATCACGCACTGCGCGTAGGGCACCAAGTGCTTGGGGGGGCACCAAAAAATCTGGGTCGTGAAAAATCATCACAATAGGCTACTAGTATAAATAACAAATAAAATATGTCTAAAGCATGTTAATATACAAAAGCAATACAAAAGCAATATGCCTAGGCTAGACCAAATTGGAGAAAAAGGTGAATCTCCTGTGCCAGTCTCCCTCTGGTGCCCCCCCTTCCCCACCTTGCAGTGGTCTGTTCCTCAATCAGTGTCAAATTTGGCAGACACCTGATCGACATCAGACATGGCCTCGAAAAGGCACCAAGAGTCGGGGGGAAAGGGGGAAAAGAAGAGACAGCGGGATAATACTCGCTTGCAGTTAAGACAATGTTTTAAATAAAAGTGTTAGTTTTGTAGGCGCCCTTGCTTCGTGTATGCATGTCCAGGGGGCGTCGCTAGTAGTTGTGCAAATGATCCAGGGCTTTGCTCAGCATGTAGAATCTTTTATTTTAACGGGGGTCCGGGGGAATTTTTCAACTTGGGCTGTTTAAGATGCAGTTAGTTTGTTTGAGAAGAAAAGGAAGACCGCTTAGATATTTTTTTTCGTTGTTGTTCTATGCGGATAATGCGGTCAAAGGCCCAAGGGCGACATCTGTTGGTGAAACTGCAATTAGAATTATTATTAGATTAGATTATTAGGGCTGGGAAAAGCTTAATCACACCCAAAATAAAAGTTTCTACATGATCTGTGAGTGTACTGTGTATAATTATTTTGTAATATACACACATATGCACATATATATTTAAGAAATATTTGCATGTATATACTGTATATATTTATAGATAATTTATATTATATATAAATTAAAATATTTTATATATAAATAACAAATATTTCTTAAATACATACATGCAAATGTGCATTTATATATATATATATATATATATACAAAATAAGTATACACAGTACACACACATAGGCTATATCATTAATGTAGACACAAACATTTTGGATGCGATTAATCACGATTAATCTTTTCCCAGCCCTACAAATTATGTACAGAATTATTATATTGTGCCTCATCAGACCTCTTTTAAAGGTAGAATAGAGTTTTGAGTTTTAAATGTTCCAGTGACACATAGGCCTATATTATATAAAAGACTAATGTGTGCAATATTTTTGTATGATGGTTAATGATTCAGTAGAATCCATGAATATTTTGTCTTGTATTTCTGAATACAGGGTCAATGCTAAAATACATGGGTATGGGTGGTTGGGGGGTGGGGTGGGGGGTATGGGGGCACCACCAAGCATTTGTGCTTAGGGCAACCAAATGGCTAGTGCCGGCCCTGAATACAATTACAGTATTTTTCCTCATTATGTCTTATATATATGTATAGTGACTCTATATATAGTAAAGTCAGCTTTATTTATATAGTGCTTTTTACAATACAGATTGTTTTAAAGCAGATATACAGTGATAACAGAAAAATAATGTTTTGTAAAAGAAGAAAATAGCATTATAGTCTAGTTCAGTGTTGGTTCTTTTTTGTTTTAAAAATGTTATTAATTTAGTTCAGTTATATATATATATATACCTGCTCTGGAGAAAACAGTTCAGTTCAGTTCTCATAATGGTATAATGGTCATAGTTCAACATAATTAAATGTTAAATGTTTAATATTATAGCAAATATATATTTAACTATTTAAATTAGATTTTCTAAAACTTATTTCATAATAAATACAAACAAAATAATGATTTTAATACTGTTATTTATTATATTGTGTATTGTATTTGTTTTTCTTGTCATTATTTGTTTTGTGTTTTAAGTCCAACATTTGCTGATTAGCCCGTCCTTCTGTACTGACAGACATCTGGAGGGGGGACAAGACTAGATATAGTGGTTTAAATCCTAAAGGAAAACAAGATATCATCTTGAGATGTCCACCATTTGGTCCCCCTGAGCTTCAGCAAACTGCAGGGAGACCGAGCGGAAGCGTAGTAAATCAACTCAAGGATGTGCTTTCTTCAAACAAGCCCTATGCCCTACAGCTATTCAATTGCAATCAAGTAAAATTTAGTAAGCAGACATTGTAAACAGTTAGTAAACAGTTCTAAAAGCATGCAAAATGCAAGGAAAAATGACTGCAGTTTGACTTTCCATCACTATCCCTGCAGTGGGAGCTGTCTATAGCTTCTACCAAGTGACAGATGAATCTGGGCCAAAATACCAGAGTTTGATTGGATACACTACTTTTTATGTTAAAAATTATAAAAATATATTATAAACTATAAATTATAGATATTATAACTATAAGTTATATAAATTATAAATTATAAATAAAAATATTATAAACGAATTAAGCATATATATATATATATATATTTTTTTCTAAATATGCTTAATTCATTTATTATTTGCCTGGTGACTCCTGGGGATATTTACTCTGAGGATACAAATATGAATATGAACATGGCCTTGTGCAACCTCAACAAGAGAAGAAATGCTGCTTCCGGAACCAATGAATAACAAATGCTAATAGTTTATGCGCAGAGCAGCTGTTTCTGCTCAGCAGTCTGGACAAGAGAGCCAAACATGCACAAGAGGATTGAAGAAGGACCCGCTCATTACTGCCCATTAGAATAAAACACTGAAAACACTCTGAATTCAGTTCAATTTCAGCTCTGAATTCACTTCACTCACACATCAGAACTGTTACATTGCTAAATGGAAATATGGTCTGAATGTGAGAAATGCATATGACCAATAATAAACAATATAAAACTGGATTTTGTGCCGGTAAATGTGGTTTAGCAGATACATTACTGTTTAAAAGTTTGGGGATGGTAAGATTTTTTTTTTTATGTTTTTAAAAAATAAATATCTTTTGCTCACCACAGCTTCATTTATTTGGTCAAAATTACAGTAAAACAGTAATATTGTGAAATGTTATTACAATCAGTCATCAATAATCCATTTTCAGTCATCAATAGTCTTCAGTGTCACATGATCCTTCAGAAATTGATGATTTGCTGCTGAAAAAAGTAAAACCCGTGATTTTGTCAAGATTCTTTGATGAATAGAAAGTTCAATAGAACTTTTGTAACTTTAGAAATATTTTTGCTGTCCCTTTTGATGAATTAAATGTGTCCTTGCTGAATACAAGTATTATTATTATTTCTTTTTTACTTTAATGGTAGTGTACACTTGATGATTTACTTAAAATGGACCACAGAGCTGCTATGATGGACATTAGGAAATTTTGTGTTAAGTTGGCAAAAAAAATACCAATTAATTGTTAAATACAAAATAATCAATTTTATCATATTGATAAATATTATGAGATTTTACTATGTAACAATATTTTATTTAGTTAGTGGATTATTCAATTTATACTTTTTAATGTGTGATTATAACTACATTTTTTTCTGCTTGTGTACAATAAACTATTCTGGTACTGTGCTTGATGTCCAAAGTGAAATTTGACCCTAAAAGGAAAGCCAGCTGGGAACCACTGCAAACTTAATAGGATTCAATAAGGCCGTCATGACCCCCTGAGAAACACTGTGGCTGTGAGAATCTAAAAGTCATTACTCAGCATGTCTGTGGTATGCGAGGTGTTGATAAGACCTAATCACTGAAGACGACGGGGACAATTGGGAGCAATTCAATTTCCACCAATGGTTCCAGTGAACTGCAGGTAAAATGAAAGGCTGAAGGGCTCTGGGATAGATTAGTGGGTTCTGGGAGACGCTATTGTGTGTGCAGCCCCACCTCTAGGCCTGAGATTAGGACAGATGACCAGCTTTGATAACCTCTGCCTAAAAGAAGCTCAGGTTAAGCACCACTTTAAGCATTTCTCTTACCCGATTGGATGGTCCGGAGCTGCGGGTGAGCTCCTCATAAGCTGACACATTCTCCCAGGTGGCGATGAAGGCATGGGTAGGGGTGAACGTGGCATCTGGAAAGCCTCTCCTGACATCCGCTTCCGCCCGCTTCAGCACGGTAGGAGACTCCGTCTGCCGGTAGAAGATGGATCCTTTTCCTTTGCTGGTGTCAATGTCAGCTAGGAAGGGGGCCATGACAGGGAAGTCGGTGGGGAAGCCGTCATCCACGTACTGCTTCTCCATGGGAAGATCCTGAGTTGAGATGATTCCATTGGTGGCCACCTGGAACGAGACATTTAAAGACACAAAACTGTCCATGGTGATCTTATTCTGGGGTCATGTTGTTATTTATTTTTATTATTATTATTATTATTATTATTATTTTTAAGTAAAATTATACAGTGATATGGTCATTTTTGACCACTTTGGATTTAAATTTAAAATGACTAAAATGTTAAACTTTGAAATAAATAAAATACTTTCATTGCAGTTTATTTGGTAACACTTTATTTTACAGTGTGTTCTTATTGAATATGTTACATGTACTTAACATAGTGATAACAGCAAATTATGCATAATTACAATTAACTAACCCTAAATCAAACCCTAACTGTAACTCTATAGTCAGTACATGTAGTTATTTAAAATTACCCAGGACGTCAATATATAATTACACTGTAACAATGACACCTTAAAAGAAAGTGTAACCCTTTATTTAAGGTGACGAAGTTACATTGTAATTAATAACTCAAGTAAATTAACAACATGTACTTATTATAGAGTTACGGTTTGGTTTAGGTTTGGTTACTTGTAATTATGCATAATTTGCTGTTATTACTATAGTAAGTACATGTAGTAACGTGTAATTATGTCACCTTAAAATAAAGGTGTTACCAAAGCTTTTAAAAACATTTTATTTTATTAAACACAGAAGAAATTACAAACATTATTGTGATAAATACAGCCAGAAATAAAAATGTCATATAACATAATGATGAAATTGCAGTCTACAGGGACATACTCATCTCAAAATAACAACACATTTTTTAATACAGTATAATTCTTTATTTATTATAATTATTTGTAGATTTTTTTGAAATCTTAGACTTTGCTTAAAGTCTTTATACATTCAACTTAATCCAGAAGAGATACCCTATATTTTTAGGCAAGACAATAATAACAACAAAAGCATTATCAGACGCTTGATGTAGCCTACTCACATATAAGTTAGCGAAGGACGCCTCATAGAAGTACATGGGTTTGGTTAGCGTGATAACTTCAGAAGTCTCATCGTCCCCCTCTTGCAGAGTTACATCGCCGTAAAACATCCCATATGGATAGATGTCATGTCTGTGGATAGCTGTGACATGGTGGACTGTCCAGAAAAATTGTAAAAAGAACAGTGCTTTTTTGCCCCACGTCATCTTAAAGAACAGCTTGTACACATGCGGCACTCTCAGAGTCAATGAGTTTGAGTGCGCGCTGATGATGTTGGGCATGAAGGTGGGAAGGTTGTGATGATCCAGGCGACACGCACTCCACGGGACGGGAGGGTTTGTGGGAGGTCACGAGGATGTTGATTGGCTAACGGGTGACACCCGGTACACCGTCTGCGTTTCATTTAATTTCAATTTATCGCATTAAGAAATTATTTTTAAATGGTCTTCTTAAACAATTATTTATTTTATATTATAAAATATATTAATGTTATAAGTTAGCATTAAATTTAAATGCATTATATAACTTAATTTTATAGTGAAATTATATAATAATATATTTTATTCTGTTAAATATCCATCTTTTTCATAATCCCCCATTTGTTTTTCCTTCTTTTACCCTATGCCTTTACCTGATAGTTTAATGATAATTGCATTAAGACTGCTTTAATCCAATTATTCAATCTGAAAGGGTCGTTAATCAATTAAAGGAGTATTTACATCAATAACAAATGGATTGTCACTAATCTAATCACTGCTGAGGCTCAAAGACGTTAGTATCTGACAGTGACGTTCTGTATTAGCATTGTGAAGTTTACATTATTACAGAATTCTGTATATTGCACATATTGTGTAAATTATTTATAAAGTGTGACAACAGTGCTGTATTTTTATTTCATATTTTCTTTTATTGTGATTGTTCTGTTCATTCATCTTGAGAACTGATCATGTCTTCTTTGTTTTTGATGCCATCTAGTGGTCATTCCGTAATTAATTTTCTAGTATTGAAATACTAGACACTATTGGAGACTGTGGGAATGTCACGGTACCACACACAGGAAACAAGGATCCAATCGCAGTATTTTTTTGTAGGGTAATCAGTAAACAGTCCAGGCAAGGGTCAAAATCCATATAAGCAGTCCATATACGCGAAACAGAACAAATGCGGCAAGAACACAGGACACAGATGTGACGAATAACAACAACTCCATAACACTAAACAGGCAGGGTATATATACAGAACATGACAATCATGATGGGGAACAGCTGAGTGCAATGAACAGCGATGAGCTCAGACAAGGATTGTAGGGATTGTAGTTAAAAAAATGATTGACACCGTGGGGAAGGAGGACCCTAGTCTAGTGGACACCAGACACTGTAACATAAGCCCCCCTCTACGGATTGGCTACTAGACACTCCAAGACAAGACTAAAACCCAACACAAAAGTTCAGGAGGGAGGTGGAAAGGCGGAGGATCAGGGGGAGGGATGGTGGGCCAGGTCCATGCATGGGAACAAAAACGGGAAATAACGAAGCAGACAGTCCATAGAGCGGCCTAGGACTGAAACGACAGTTCAATCGGGTGGCCAGGGCAGAGTAGATAGCCCATTGGGCGGCCACGGAGGTGTAGACTCTTTGGACGGCCACGGCGGTGAAGACCCTTCGGGTGGCCAGGGCGAAGGCTCAGGAACAGACGCCGGCTCAGGAACAGCAACAGGAACGGACACTGGTTCCGGCTCAGGAACAGACACCGGCTCCGGCTCAGGAACAGACACCGGCTCCGGCTCAGGAACAGACACCGGCTCTGGCTCAGGAACAGACACCGGCTCAGGAACAGACATCGGCTCCTGCTCAGGAACAGACACCGGCTCCTGCTCAGGAACAGACACCGGCTCCGGCTCAGGAACAGACACCGGCTCCGGCTCAGGAACAGACACCGGCTCAGGAACAGACACCGGCTCCGGCTCAGGAACAGACACCGGCTCCGGCTCAGGAACAGACACCGGCTCCGGCTCAGGAACAGACACTGGCTCCCTCCGGCTCATGAACAGACACCAGCTCCTTCTGGCTCATTAACAGACATCGGCTCAGAAACAGACAACGGCTCAGGAACAGAAACCGGCTCAGGAACAGCAACAGGAACGGATACCAGCTCCGGCTCAGGAACAGACACTGGCTCCAGCTCAGGAACAGACACCGGCTCCCTCCGGCTCATGAACAGACTCCGGCTAAGGAACAAATGCCGGCTCCAGCTCAGCAACAGACAGCGGCTCCAGCTCAGGAAAAGACACTGGCTCCCTCCGGCTCATGAACAGACACCAGCTCAGGAACAGACACTGGCTCTGGCTCAGGAAAAGACACCGGCTCCCTCCGGCTCACGAACAGACACCGGCTCAGGAACAGACACCAGCTCCCTCCGGCTCATTAACAGTAAGTAAGTAAGTAAGTAAGTAAAATTTATTTATACAGCGCCTTTCACAGACTTAGTCACAAGGCGCTTTACAATATACAAAAAATTATTTGATAGAAAATAAAATAAAACAGATAAAAACATCAACATGTAAAATACAGAGATTACCCAAAAGCTAACCTGAACAAGTGAGTCTTCACTTGTCCCCTAAAACTGTCCACATTCTCAGCCAACCTAATACTGGTAGGCAAGGCATTCCATAATCTGGGTGCCATAGCGGCGAAGGCCCTGTCCCCACATGTCTTTAGACGAGTGCGTGGCGTAGATAGCAACTTTTGATTATTAGACCTGAGAGACCGGAGAGGAGTGTGAAAATGAATTAGCTCAGCAAGATAAGCAGGGGCCTGACCATGTAAAGCCCTAAAGGTTATAGTTAATATTTTGAATTGGATCCTGTAGGTAACCGGAAGCCAGTGAAGGGAGCGGAGTATTGGGGTGATATGGGTGCGTCTATTTGAACGAGTAAGTAATCTAGCAGCTGAATTTTGAATGGATTGCAGTCGATGAAGGGCAGATTTATTAAGCGAAAAGAAAAGTGAGTTACAGTAATCTATACGGGAGGAAATGAAGGCATGGATGAGCATCTCCATTTCTGATTGGGATACCACAGACTTCAATTTACTTAAATTACGGAGGTGGAAAAAACAGGATTTAGTAAGGGATTTGATATGGCTTTCAAAGGATAAAGATTTATCAAATGTCACCCCAAGGTTCCTTAGACTAGTCCGGACAGCAGATGCCAACGGTCCAATGTTCTGCATAATCAGAGGGATAGCACTGTCTGGTGCTACAATTAATACCTCTGTTTTATCTGGATTAAGTTGCAGGTAACTTTCAGCCATCCAGCTGTTTATGGCGTCTATACAGTTTAGGAGCATTGTAAGTTTGGATGACTCATTTTGCCGGAAGGTAAAATGAAGCTGAATGTCATCTGCGTAGAAGTGATATGAAATGTTAAAATCACTGATGATCTGACCAAGAGGCAACAAGTATAAAATAAACAATATTGGGCCCAACACTGAACCCTGTGGAACACCACAAAGCAGGGGTGATGATGTAGAGTGGGAATCATCAATATAGACGTTAAAACTCCTATCGGAAAGATATGAGGTAAACCAATCCAAGGCCACTCCTGTTATGCCCACACAGTCACGTAGTCTCCTAATCATGATGTGGTGGTCCACAGTATCAAAAGCAGAACTAAGGTCTAGAAGTACCAATACTGAACATAGACCTGTGTCCGAGGCCATATGAAGGTCATTACAGACTCTCACCAAGGCGGTCTCAGTAGAGTGTCTCTTCCTAAAACCTGATTGAAATTTATCATACAACTCCAAATTCTCTAAAACATCTGTAAGTTGATTAGCAACAACTTTTTCAAGAATTTTGGACAGCAATGGCAACTTAGATATTGGCCGATAATTCTTCAGAACTGTAGGGTCCAAATTAGGCTTTTTTAATTTGGGTTGAATGGTGGCATGTTTGAGATAAGATGGGACACAGCCTGTAGCCAGTGAGGTATTGACAATAGCTACTATACTAGGGCCAATGACAGGGAGTGCTTTTGCGAATAATGAGGATGGTATTATATCATGTGGACAAGAGGATATATTTATTTTATTAATCAAATTTAGCAAATCAAGGAGGCTGATTGGTTTAAAAGACTCAATGATAATAGGCCTAGGTGAATGAATACAGTCCATAGAATAGTGTGGTCCGCGCAGAATATTTGATCTAATAGACTGCACCTTATCAATAAAAAAAGACAGCAGCTTATCACAATCATTTTGAGAGCATGTTGTTGTCACAGTGGTTGGAGGAGATACAATGTTATGTATGGTATCAAATAATACCTTAGGGTTTCGCTTAGAGGATGATATTAAATGAGCGAAATAAGCAGTCCTAGATTTCGCAACTAGATTGTTAAAATCATGCATAAGTTCCTTAAGATACAGACGGTGCACTTCAAGCCCGGTGGATTTCCATAGACGTTCAGTCGTACGGCACCTCCTCCTTAGACAACGCACATCGTCCGTCATCCAAGGCGCGGTGTTACATATATGCTTAGTTTTTGTCTTTAAAGGAGCCACTTCGTCCAATACAGAAGAGCAGGCATTATTAAAAGCTTGCATTAAGAACTCAACATCATTGCTACAACCCATCAAATTAAAATCACAATCAAACAGAGAGATAAATTGCTCAGCAGTTGTTTGAGTAATAATGCGCGATTTTGCCAGACGTTTCTGACAAGGGGGGTCAGCAGTGGAAGAAAGATTAAAAAAGATGCACTTATGGTCACTAATCGACATATCCTCACAGCATATTGCATTAACATCCAAACCTAATGTGAAAACAAGGTCTAATGTATGACCACCAGTATGTGTGGGTCCATGAACATGTTGCTTTAGATTATGTGAATCCGTAATGCTGAGAAAAACTTTTGCGGCATGATTATCAGAGACATCAGTGTGCAGGTTAAAATCCCCAACCATTAATAGTTTTTCAAAATGAATAACAGATGACATAAAGTCCGTAAACTCTGTTAAAAACTGTCCAGCAGGACCAGGAGGGCGATAGATGAGGATGCAAAAGAACGGCTTTATCCGGCCGATTCTAGTAATTTGCAGTTCAAAAGAAGAAAAAGTTTCCACGCTCACCGGTTGACAGGAATAGTTATTTCTCCATACTATGGCAAGTCCTCCACCGCGGCCAGACAGACGCGGGGATCCAATAAACGAGCAGCCAACGGGACACAGCTCATTTAAGTGGATAAATTCCGAGTTACGTTGCCAAGTTTCTGTCAGTAATAGAAAGTCCAAGTTTTGCCTCACGAACAGATCATTCAGAATGTGCGCCTTGTTCGCCACAGAACGGGCATTTAACAAGCACACATTCACAGAAGAAATAACTGAGTCTCCAGAGGTTGAGGAAGAAGATGTACATTCAATAATCCTAAGTGTTGGCTGGCCGCGAGGAACGCGGCCAAGATGGGAAGGAGGTGGATCCCTATGCAGCACTCCACCGGGCGCATCCGGAAACACTGCACGCAGGTAAGATGCTCTGTCGGGGATCCGGGGCCAGTCAATGCCTGGTTGGTAGAAAAATTGAGGATTACGATCCACAAACAGACAGTCCGTCCGGTTGCCAGCAAGGGAGTATTTCCATAGTCTGCGATTCTTGGCCTGGAAGCCCGCTCTGATCCCTCGTCTCCTCCGTTTTCCACACTTCTTGGGCAGGTGCGCAGGCTTTCTTCTCCAGTCGCGGTACAGTGAGAGATCGTGACCCGGCAAGCCCAGGCGAATACAGGGTGGTATTGGAGGTGGATTACCAATACCCATATAGCCGGACATTTCAGCTCTAATAAGCAGCAGCAATTGCCGATCATAAACCAGGGCGGCTGATACATGTGTGGACAGCAATAGTGGCATTAAAAGGCATATTAAAATAAATATCTGAGACCAGGAGACATAAAATACAGAGAGAGACGTGGCAAAGCCGAACACAGGCGCCATCGTCACTTCCTTCCTGAGTAATATGTCCTTCCTGAGTAAACAGACATCGGCTAAGAAACAGACACCGGCTCAGGAACAGAAACCGGCTCAGGAACAGCAACAGGAACAGATACCGGCAGCTCCGGCTCAGGAACAGACACCGGCTCTGGAACAGACACCGGCTCCGGCTCAGGAACCACAGACACGAAAGTTTTGAAACATGAAACTTACACATTTGCGTTAACACGCTCCATTGGAGAGATATCCGGATGTTTATTCTCCTCTGCCATAACGACCTATTGATTTTCATTAAACCGAGAAAATGGAATTTTGTTTTATTTACGATCACTGAGAAATGTTCTATTATTTAAAATGCGATATATATATATATATATATATATATATATATATATATATATATATATATATATTATTTTCACCTTGAATTCATTTGCCTGGATCCACCCCGAAGAAAACGTCTAAATGTCACGTTTTTAATGAAGCAGCCTAATGAGTAAAATGTCTATTTTTCCGGAGTCCCCCAGCTCCTCATTTTGCAAAAGGTATGCTAAAACAACGTATTACATCGACATTAAACCACGTTAACCGTGTTAACCATAACCTTTTAAATACTCGACCTAGTTCCATTGCTTAGCAACGGGAAGAAACTCCTGTAACTTCAGTGCCCAACCCGTATCACGACAAGACCTGAAATAATCACGTTGGTGGTTGGTCCAATTTGGAAAACGTGTAGATGTCACGGTTTAGTTTAAACTCAAAACCATAAATAGGGCTATACTGCCCTCTTGTGTCAAATTATATTTCTTCTATATTTATTTTTCCAACAAATAAAACCAAACCTGCAATAAAACTCCGTCAAATACACTCTTGAAATCAACAGATTCAGTGGCTCAGTTGATAAAGTGTTGGGCTTTAATCAACAAGACCTGAGTTCAATTCCCATACTTGCCTTAATTTGTTGTGATTATATCAAACAAAAGTGGTCTAAACAATATTTCTTCAACCCGGTGTCGTGATAAGACGTAAAATAATCACTTTGGTGCACTTTTGAAAACGCGTAGATGTCACGGTTAAACCCCCTCAAACGTGAAACTTACACTTAAACTGAAACTTACCTATTGGTTTTCATTAAACTGAGAAAAATTGAATTTTGTTTTATTGACGATCACTGAGAAATGGTCCAATATTTAAAAAATGCAAAAAACATTTATTATTTTCAAGGTGAACAGGATTCATTTGCATTTTATTTAGTTCTCGGGGGAGTATGCCCCGAAACCCCCTAACTTCACCTAAATGTGTGTGACTGTGTGGTAATGTGGGCTGGTATGGTTACAGTGCCAGGGATGCCAGTCTGCCGCTGCATATAGGCCTGCAATATGCATTATTCTCTGTATCGAATCATGCTATCTTATTCCCCAGCCCCTGATGTTTCGGGTTCAGCCCCTGATGTTTTTGAAACCTAGAAACGCCCCTGCTAAATACTGAGAACCCGTCCTGTTCCACGTGTCACTGCAAGAACTGACAAAAGATTTGAGGTCAAATTTTAATTTGATTTGATACACTACCAGGATGATGTTTCTTTAATGAACAGAGTTCAAAAGAACAGCATCTTTGAAATAGAAATCTTTAGTAATATTATGTTTTTACTATTCACTTTTGATTCATTGAATCCTTTCTGAATAAAAGTACTGATTTCTTTAAAAACAAAATTACAGATTTATGTAGATCATAAAAAAATCATAAAACATTCACATATAATGTCTACAACTCTCGAATACTTGAAAGTTAAATTAAATAATTTAAATTCTCATTTATTTTAGTACCATAAATAAAAATGTCTAGCCTAGTCATATTTAGTCTTACCTTATTTAGCCCGTAGAGGGCGCCAGATAAAAACAAAAAACACTAAACCTAACGCTAAATTGGTTTGTAATCACATGTAAAACGATTTTAGATTTTTGCGGTGCACATTAACTTGTTATCACATCTCAACAACGCAAATTAATTATTTTCTTTTACATACGTTGGCTCATTTATTCACCCTATAGCCTACAACAATCATAAATTGCACAATAAGGTTTCCTTTAGTGCAGGCCTCTATTATTTTGATAGTTAGCTAGTGATGACGTCTTTTGTTGGCTAAGTGAAATCTGATAGTCTCTTGATGTACGTGAGATGTTCCTCATTTTCACTGGATCTGATCCAGAAGTTTCAAGTTTCAGGATAGTTTGCTTTGTTCATAACCGTGTTTGGTTTGTCAACATGAGCATAACCCGAGCTATTTGTACTGTAACACATGCAGTGAGTGTACACTATAAGCGTTATGGTGGCAGACATGAGGAGAGCTCTGCGAATCCATCCATCATTGTCATATAAGCCTAACACAAAAGCTCCAAAAAAAGGGGTTACACTTAATTTTAAGGTGTCCTTGTTACTAATAGGCTAGTAGTTACAAGTAGGTCTACATAATTGGGGTTATAGGTTTAGTAGCATGTAATTATAAGCCTATGCAGCATAATTGACAATTACTACATTAACTACATGAAAAATGTGTAGCAGGGACACTGTAAAATGATGTGTTACCAAAAAAAGTTTTGTTTCTTGGATGGAAATATGCCTACATATATAGCTAATAATATATGAACACAACATTTTAAAGCACAGCAGTATACATAAACTTGCAATTGGAAATGTTTAAATGTTTTTTTATTATTATAAAACATATTAATACCATGAAGCCCTAAAGAAAAAAAAGAGTACAAAAATTCCCTCTGGCAAGACAATAAAACATGCAGCAACACGTTGTGTGAGCTCAGGTCTGTACAGCCCAACCTTAGAGCCAAGGGAAATTTTGTAGCGTCTCTCCGCATTTTTAGAGAAAGTAGATTTAATTATCTGAAAATAAAGAAAAGAGGACTGCAAAAAAAAAAAAAAAAAAAGATTATTGTTTGAAAAGAAGCCAATTGAGCTGTTTCTGGTCTAAAGATCAATGTTTCGGGGCTGTTTTCCAAGGTTTTGAACAGGTCCATTCTAGAAGATCTAAGATGTAATGAGCACTCAGCACTTTGGATGACAAATGTAATTATTTGATTTGATTTCGTTAACAAATCTGTCAAATTTATACAATTTACACCAGTTATTGTATAGTCTTTGGTGGTATTATATTTGGTTGTAGAATTTCAATGAGAGTAACCATTATTTAATCAGTAGTAATTTTGACAATCATTCTTTCCAAATTTAAAGGCAAATTTAGCTTAAATCACATGTACCCCTTAACAAGAGACAATTTCAAGTCCATTTTAAACATTTTTACAATAGCTATTTGATGATTATTTGTTCAAATACAGCACAGGGCTCTTTGGGACTCCAAACTGCCAGGAAGTAGAGTCTCAACGGCACAAGGGGTTTTAAGGAAGCTTGAATTTCTCAGTCTTGTGTCTGGACCAGTGTGTGTGTGTGTGTGTGTGTGTTGAGGGTGGAGTCAAGACGGTGACGTTTATTCACCAGTTAACAGCTCGTTCAGCAGAGGAACTCATGGCTCACACTATTCTCCCACCACTGCCTCTTTGCCTTCGAGAGCATGGAGCAGACAAAGAGGCAAGTCTGTCTGACTCCAGAGGCATTGAAATGTGAACTCCATGCTTTTACCATGGTGAACAACCTTTAAGCTTTTTAAATTGAATGCAGTTTTTCTGATGTAGAGTTGGGTTCTCTCAAACATGCCAACCTAAACTAATTCAAGGAAGCTTTTCATCTGAAGAACTTTGAGGTTCCTAGAAGATCTCCAACCGGAGCGTTGGTAAGTCCACTGCAGGAATGGACACAGAGAACAAAACCTGTCGTTACAGTCAGAGCGTGGAGGAGAACGGGGGCCCGGCCATCAGCGCGATGATGTTCTCAGCCGGAGTGCTCGGGAATCTGGTTGCGTTGGTTCTCCTGGAGTTCCGCAGGAGGAAAGAGAAGAACCGGCAGCGGCAGTCTCTGTTCCATTTGTTGGTGACCACGTTGGTCATTACGGATCTAATGGGCACCTGCTTGATCAGTCCCCTTGTGCAGATTGCACACTTAACTAATACCACACTATTTGGGATGACCAAGTCTTCTGCGGTGACCGAGTCTTCTGCGGTGTGTCAGTATTTTGGATTTGCAATGACTTTCTTCAGTCTGGCGACACATTCCATCCTCCTCGCCATGGCACTGGAGAGGAGCATCTCCATCGGGTACCCGTACCACTATGGGAGGCACGTCACCAAGCGCTGTGGATACATCACCATCCCTTGCATTTATCTGGTCTGCTTTCTATTCTGCATGATGCCGTTTGCAGGCTTCGGGGAATATGTGCAATACTGTCCAGGGACGTGGTGTTTTATCGACATGAAACCAGAGAAGCCTAAGCACCAGGCTTATGCCAACGTTTATGCCACCGTGTTGCTGCTTACTGTTGTAATTATAGTGGCATGCAACTGTTTTGTAGTTTATCATCTGGTCCTGATGTACCGGAGGCGCAAAATGAACCGAGGATCGGTGCAGACCCGGAGTAAAAAGGACAGGAGGCACTTCTCATGGGCAGAGGAGGTGGAACATCTCATTCTTCTGATCTTCATGACAGTCATATTTGTCATTTGTTCTCTGCCATTAATGGTAAGACTTACAGTATCTTATTAGGATGAAGGAAAGGGATTTGTTGTAAATTCACTAAAATATTTTTAAAAGTCCTTCAGGCATCAATAAACTACTTTATAAAAAGGGAAAAAATTAAATGTATGTCATTGTTAAAATGTATGATCTAAAAAAGTGGGCAAAACAGATTTTTTTTACTGTAATATTTCACTTTTTAGTATTAATAAAAATATAGAAAAATATAGAAAATATGAAGAGTTCAGATGCAAAAGCCTCTAAATGCCATTTGAAATTTTCTTCTTTAATGATGATTTTTATCAAACTTATATATTTAAGTTCAGTAATTTCACTTAAATAACAATTAATAGGTAATTATCATTGCAATTTAAGTGAAATTACTCAACTTAAATATACCAGCTTGATAAAAATCATCATTAAAGAAGAAAATTTCAAATGGAATTTAGAGGCTTTTGCATCGGAACTCTTCATATATTCATATTAACAACAATATCAGAAGTTGCGAAAGATAAAAGATGAATAAGAAACAATATTAATAGATATAAAAATATGCTATAATATAATGCAACTGCAAACGGTCTTGCTTATGTACTTCAGAGACATTAATTTGCAGATAAATTACACTATCATGATTTTTTATTTAGATTTTTGAGGTTTTTTATAATGTAGCTCAGCTGTCATTTATATTCAATGTTTCTTTCACTTGATTTGAGGTTAAAAAAAGAGACATTGTGCCTTAACTGTCTTTTGCAGATTAAGTAATTTATAAGCAAACAACAGGTTTCATGGACGGATGCTTCCATGTTACAGTTCAGGTTACTGGGGTTGCATGGGACATGGGGATGTTATGGTTTCTAAGTAACCACATATTTTCTTGCTGATTTATTGACAGAAAGGAATGGTTATGAAAAGGAAAAAAGTATTTATCAAAAGAAATGCCACGCATAAGTGTAGGAAAGCATTTAGCATTTCGAAAAGGACGGCTTTCTGAGATCTTCATCAAACCCAAGATCATGATATGGAGTTTCTTTCAAAATCATCTTCTGTACCAACAACAACTGACAGTATGAGATTTAGATAGCTGCTGGAGCTTATTTTTTCTTGGGGTGTATTATTAATTCTTGTGAAAAGCGACTATTGTGGTTGTATTACACAAAGACTCTAATCCAGCTCAAAAACCAGACTCAAATCCAGCTCTTCAGTCACCTGGAACAATGTCAGCCATGGTAATTATTTAGAAATTATATTAACAGTAGGTGAAATTACATTATTGTATTACAGTTTAGTATTTGTGGCTCCTTCTGGAAACTTATTGCTGATTCACTGGTTTGAATTGAGTTTATTAAGGACAACTGAATTTCAGCATAAATTAAGTAATATAATTTCAGATCCCAGCAGCCCACTGACTAAATTTGTGGGACGGGCAACTATGTAATGATGGAAGACAGGAGTCTGGTGAAAGATCATGCATTATCATAATCATTAGATTTCTCAACCAAATGGAAACTTTTACTTGATCAAATAGTAAATGTTTAGTTTGTTTAGTTTCAAATTTGCTCTGATAAACGAATTCATTCGTGACTTCGTCACCATCAAATAAGGCATTTTGAAGAGATTTGGGGAAAATAACATATGAATAGCATGGTTTCTGCATATTAAAATGGGATAGAAGAAAGTATTTTAACATAAAGAGATTACACACTTTAGTTTGAAGACTCCAGTTTGATGAAATGCAGTGCATGAGAATTTTGTAATAGCCTACTTTCATAATACTTCATGGTCTGTGAAAAAAAAAAAAAAATCTCATGACCAAACAATCCTATTGGGAAAAATATAACTGTTTATCATTGCTTTTGTGTGTGATATAGGGAAAACAAAACAAAGGCTTAAAAAAAAAAAAAAAAACTATGAGCGGAGATAAGCAAACTTAGGAAAATAATATGAACCATTTCTGCTCTGTTTAGGAAGAGCAGTGAAATGAAGTTCTTACAGTGATCTTGTGAGTCATTGACGGGAACTCCAGGATGAAGACATAATAGAGAGTGGATTATATTTTTATATAACTGCTGTCATGGGAGATTTGTATTTTTTAGTTGTTCTGTGCTCACACAAAATCTGGTAACGCTTCCTTTTACAGTCCAGTTACCCATGTACTGTAAATACTATGTACTTATTTTAGTAAGTACAATTACTGGGTAATAACTAGTACTAACCCTGAACCTACCCCTGTTCCATGTACTTACCTTATATTAGCCAGTACTTTTTAGGTAAGTACACTGTAAGTACTGTACTGTAAAAGAAAGCGTTACCCAAAATCTTATGAGACCACTTACGTGTTCGCTGAAATCTCAGTCAAAGCAAAAGCTCCCTAAATTGGAATTAATAGGGAAAATGACTAAGTCTCTTGCCTTTTAAATTCCTATCTGTATTAGAGTAATAACATGTTAACGTGCACGCTAATGAAAGTAATGCGATTTAAGTGCATTACCTTGTGCGTGAGATGAAACACATCCTTGTTGTCGTCATTAGTGTCTTATAGAAGCCTGTCAACAATGATAATGGTTTCTCCAGATTAGATATGATTATGTGGGATGTGGAAAAGTATCATGAATTATTAAAATCATAAAATGCAAAAATATATTCTGGATCAGACAGTGACTCTGCATGTCTCACAACTAGCCTATTGTTAGCAGCTGTCACACTACATGCTAAATTTATATGGTGATTGCCAACCTGTGATTAATTATTAATAAATCGAGTCTATTTTTTTAATTAGATAGACAGATAGATAGATAGATAGATAGATAGATAGATAGATAGATAGATAGATAGATAGATAGATAGATAGATAGATAGATAGATAGATAGATAGATAGATAGATAGGGAAAATATTGAGAAAATAGAAAAATTTCTAAAAAAAAAAGTCTCACAGTGTTGTGCTCGGAATAAATAATCGTTTCCCATGACATCATCATCTGTGGTTAATGTTCAGTAACATCTCTGAATTACCTTCTTCTCTCTAGATCCGTGTGTACATCAACTCCATGGTAAAGCCTGTAAAAAACAAGACGGATCTAATAGCTCTGCGGTTCCTCTCGGTCAACTCCATCATTGACCCGTGGGTGTTCATCATCCTCAGCCCCTCGGTTCTGCGCTTCCTCTGGGGGGCGCTCTGTAAGACCACCTTAATGCCCTCCAGGAACTCCCTGTTCAAAACGTCCATTTCCAAGAACCCCGCAGGCCAAATCGAGCTGTACCAACCCAGTTCCACCTGTGTGGAGACCACACACCACAACAAGTCTGTTCAGATGATCTGAAGTGATGAGGACAATGACGATGGACTGGATCTGTCATCCATCTATCCATCTGAGAACATCTCAACTGATTTGTCTTCGATTCCAATGCAATCTGGTTGGATTGTTGATCTAAAAACAGATTCAGAAACTGAGTGAGATAAAGCCAAATGTGAGGTCAAAGGGATACGTTATGTTCCCTCAACCACTACAGTTTTGTTTTGAGACCAGAAGCCCCGTTAACTGCGATCACCTGAAGAACTTGAAAAATGTTTAAGGCATGTTCATTGGGAGTTCAATCATGGAGGATTTTTCATTTTTTGCCGGGGACATGAGTGATTGGACTGTTTAAAAACAGAAACTCTCCTTAAGCTATCATTCCATGATCATTACTCTTTTTTTTCCAGGCTTGTGTTTTCCAGGTAAAAACGGCACATTCTCCTACGCAGTCTACGTTTGTTGTCGAGTGACTCATGTGACGTAGTTTGCGTTTCAAGTAATTCAGCTCTTCAAATATTACTTAAAGTTGTCAACTTGTATTTATAGACGCAACATATTTATTGTGTTTTAATTTATGTGAATACAACTGCAAGTCAATGACATATATGTGTCTTCATATGTATAGACTGACATGAATCAGTCATTTCTTTCATGTGAGAGATTACGCTTGTGCATAATTGTACATAATTATAGTATAAGCATGACGACATGGTGCCGTTCAGTAGCTACAGACCTGTTCTTTGTGTCAAGATAGTTGTTTTTCTGCCTTTGAAGGTCTTGAATGTACTTGTGAAATAATGTGTTATCCACGAATGCATGTAATTTATGTTGGAAGTGTTGTGTGAAATTGTCTGTTAAATGTAACATAGTCTAAGCAAGTCGCAGCCATTGATGTGCACTTCACAACGGAGCAAATCAATAAGATTGATAAGTTAACAGATGCATTTTGAATTTGAATATAAGTATTATCTGTCATTATTAACAAGAAACGTTTGTGATTTTATTGTTTGTTGTTTGAAAGTTGTTGTTTTTTTTTTTTAAAAAGTTTAAAAAGGCCTTATGGAGAGAGAAAACAATATTCAAATTCCAACTCATGAATAAAAAGGGAGACAATTTTTCAATTCTGAATTTTGCCCAAACCTGCTCAGGACTCGTGTCTCTTGACAAAGAAATAAATAAAGCATGCATACATTGCCTGAGGCCATAAATAAGTATGCGAACACTCAAATAAAATGCTTGTTGAGTGCATTGCTTGCACATGGTCCTGTTGTACATATTTAATGTTCTTGCATTGGAGTGCTGTGATAAACCATGTGACTCAAGGGAGTGACATTGCAATGGTATATTTCTGAATGCAATTATGTGTGAAAATATGTGAAGCTAAAGTTTGTGTTTTAAAGAGCCCCTATCATAGCATTTGAAATGTTCATATTTTTGTTTTAGGAGTTCCCAAAAACAGTTTAACGTGCATGCAAGGATAAAAACACTTTATTTGTCTTATAATATGCATTTATTTTTAACTGATTTGCTCAACACTCCCAAATGATTCGTTCGACGATTCAGTTGTTATTGGTAAACCGTAGGCAGAGACTGTCGGCAACGAAGCGCCCATAATATAGCTTGTCAAGTGTTGAAAATTGTATATAGTGTTTGAACAAACGTGTCAGAAAAAGTGCACTTTCCACACGGTCTTACTCACGTCTCCGTCAGACACTCAAGCTTTCCCGGCGACACTCACATTGCGGCGGCTTTAAGAGGCAGTGCTTATTATAAAGAGCGAAGTCATAATTTGGTTAAGTCGTTTAGGAGGTAATTGCCATTTTTCAATGAATGTCCAACACTATCTCACGACCAATTCGTACGAATTCGACGCATGATTAAAAAGTGGCTAATTCGTACTAATTCGTACGACCTCACTCGTACTAATTCGTACGATTTGTCTTAACCCACGTGATGGTTAAGTTTAGGGGCGGGGTAAGGGGTAGATCATTCGTACGAATTCATACGAATTGGCCAATTCGTAAAATATGTACGATTTAGCAAAATCGTATTAATTCGTACGAGTGAGGTCGTATGAATTGTTACGAATTAGCCACTTTTTAATCATTCGTCGAATTCGTACGACTTGGTCGTGAGATCGGGTTGGAATGTCTGGTGAATATCAAAAACAAAACTAACTTTACCCCGCTTAGAAGCTGCGCGGAGTGTACACAACACACACACATGCAACAGAAAACATAACAGCAAACATTATTAATAATACTTACAGATTATGATTCGGAGGAGGACGAACCTGATCCATATACACTGGATACTGAGCCCTCCTTCAGGCACAATCGGCTTGCGAATCCACATTTGAATTCATTTAGGTTTTTGAATTTTGAATGATTTGTGATGAGAACACAAGGTTCGGCTATACTGTTGTGGTATCGTTGCAAATATGAACTCTAACCACTGATTCTTCACATGCTCGTCCCTGGACAATGAATACAAGAGGCTGAACTGTCTTTGCAATGTAGAACATAGCGTCTTCTCGACATGATACAATTCAGCTGAAGTATTTGAATGTGTTCTAGACTTCAAGTTTACATTTCCGTCTGCGCGCGCAGTTGTTGGGAGCGGCCATGGCCTCTCTACGTCACGATGTAACAGCTAATGACTCGTTTCAAAAACAATTCATTTCATAGACTCAGAGTCGACTCTCACGTTTGAAAGACAATAACTCTATATACGGTGCACTTTCAGATATAAATCTTTGCAGGATGTTTTCATTCCCTTAGAGCTATATTGCACACTACATGAACAGTCATTTTCAAAAATCCATGTTAGGTGCTCTTTAAGCCTTGGGCCGCTTACATTAGTCTCTGACAGACAGGAATGTCTAACATGTTTGAGAGCAAAGGAAGGAGTGAATAGGAGCCATGCCAGTTTGAATCACTCCACTCCACATTTGCAGATGCCTACGTCAGGTTCTGCTCGCATAATGCAGAGTTTCCTAAACCAGGGGTAGCAAACACTTGTTGGTTTGTGACAGAACTGCAGGAAATGAAAAGCTAACAATTCATCAAATCATAAAATGTAAACGATTTTTAAATAAAAATAATGAAAACACTTACTAAAAAGACTAAATGTTTTATTTGTTTGTCTGCATGTCAAGTGACCATTTACCAATAACTGAGAACATGCAAATGTAGGCTACTGTTAAATTATTGAAATATTAACTTCAAAAGCTGTATTCAAGTAAATATTTTAGGTCAAATGGGTTCAGCTGGTCCTGTGGGTGCTCCAGGGCTCCATGGAAAATCGCAAGATATTCTCCAATCAAAAAATCGATTGGAATTCAGGAACCTCTCCGATTGGTGGACAGCACATCTGGTCCCGGAGGGTGGTAATAAACACCGTTCTACTTAGGACATAATTAACAACCTGACATAACAGCTTTTTTGGACAGTTATAAATTGCTTTTAAATGCAAAATGATCAGGTATATCAGCAGAGAGTGACTTATAAAAACACTCACATAATATGTGAATGAAGATGTTTATGTTTGGTTGTAGACACGAATTCTACGCAAATTCTTCGCAAAACATGAATACATTTTGCGTACCATCGCATGGAGATAATTCATCAAGCGCACCATCGCATGGAGATAACAATTTGTCTCTTTGAAGAATACTAAAATTGATAACAAGTATTGAGTGAATTCATTAAAATATTTTAAGAGGCAAATCAGCATCTATGCCAGGCATAACGGACAACTATCATAAACTCAAACCATACTTATTAAGGTTGACATGAAAAAGAAGTTGTCAAAGACTTTTCTTCCCTTTTGTGGCGTATGTCTGAGTGAACAGCACTCGAACAATAAAAAATGTTGGCCTATGGCTGCTCTTGATTTTGTCCATTAGGAATTGATTGGATGGTTGTTGTTCGCTATTGCTGTGATGTCATGTGAGTGACGGGTTGCTCCGCCTTCGCACCAGTGAACACGAAGAGATGTCGCTGTAGGGAGGGGAAGTTATTTTTATTAAAGGTTATGAGGGCACATGAATAATAAAATGTCAGCAAATCATTTATAATAAATACTGATTTAAAAAAATCAATGGATTCAAAGCATATTTTTCAAATCGAGGAAATAGGCTACTCTATGAATCAATTCTGCAAACTGACTGATTCTGTGGGCATAAAAAGTGCAACATTGGTAGGAAAACACACTGAGTTTACACATCTGATAGGTGGAACAGAACCCCCAATAAGTCTATTAATTATTCGGCAAATATGAGGATATCAGAGATCAACCTCAAAAAAATAATTCTGTTTATTTTATCTGCAAGATCATTCCAGTTACTAAAAGTTGAAATCACTTATCTTCAGCCTGGTTGTGGGAACTTGAGTTTTTCACAAGATAAATATCAAATATGTGAATATTTAGATAACAGAGCGGGGTCTGATGCTCGTGACACTGTGCACCCATAGGGAGTGTGGGAAAAAGGACTCAGTCAGATCTCGATCGCTTCAGTCTCAGACGTCATGGTAACGTTTCTATAGCAAACCACAGCTCAGGTGCCTGAGGCTGACATGAGAGCTAGTATTTCCTGTGGTTAATTCTGTGATTTAGCCTACAGTGAGAATTCATAAAAGTGTTCAGAACATTTACTGCATGGCTGATAAGATAAAATTAGATTTAGCCTTAGCTTAAATTGTCACTATCAGTCCTCAACCACTTTTTATTTCTTTGAATACAGAGGCAATGATGTGTCAACTTGATTTGTTGTTGTCTCTCGCCTCTGCAGTGTCTTTACACCGTTGTGTGAAAGTCTATCGATTCGGCCCATTGATTCAGAATGATATATTCACAGACTTAAGATCTTATTAAAATCGCTACATGAGCCGTTTCGGCTTCTATACTTGTTTATTACCTCTGTAGTGTCAGTGTAGTCAACCATTTTCACAACAATTTGCAGAAGCGTCAGGTCATGATTCATTGTCCATTATGTATTTTAAGCAACACAGTCTCATGAAGATGCGTATCTATACCACGAGTGTCATTTCTCGTGGCATTTATACGCCAAAAGTGTTTTTTTCGTGTATATGGTACGCACTAAAAAACCCTGGGTGGTTTAGGGGGGAGGGGGGTGGGGAGTTTGTGCGTATTTTACGCAAAAAAGTGCGTATCATATGTACGCGAAAATCGCGTGCCAAATACACGCAAAAACTGTTTTTGGCGTATAAACGCCACGAGAAATGACATTCGTGCCATAGACACGAACTTTCATGAGATCGGGCTGATTTTAAGATAAAAGCATGTTAAACATCAGTTTACGACTGAAACAAATAGGCATCTCATTAACATGTCAAAATTTTGCATTTCACAATATATAAAAATATATTGTGAAATATTACTTTTGACAGGTTTTAATGAGATGTATACAATTAAAACGCAGCATATTCGTTTCAGTCGTAAACTGGTGTTTAACATGCTATTATCTTTAAAATACAACATAAATGGACGATGAATCATGACAAGATGCCAAGATGACGGTTGACTAGATATATATAACTATATTGACAAAAGTTTTGGGACATCTGCCTTTACATTTTTGGAATTTTTGACCATTCTTCTATAGAAACACATTTGTGTCCACTGATGTTGGACGAGAAGGCCTGTTTTGGAGAAAGGTGTTCTTTCAGGTTGAGGTCAGGACTATATCCAGGCCAGTCAAGTTCCTCCACAACAAACTCGCTCAAACATGTTGGAACTCGTGCACAGTCATGTTGGAACAGGAACCGGCCATCCCCAAACTGTTCCCAAGTGGGGAGAATGAAATTGTCCAAAACATCTTGGTATACTGAAGCATATAGGGGCTAAGCCCAACCCCTGAAAAACAACCCGACACCATAATCCCCCCTCCACCAAACTGTAGTCTACACTTGGCACAATGCAGTCAGGCAAGTATCGTTCTCCTGGCAACTGTCAAACCCAGACTGCTCTAGAGACCATGGCAGCGTGCTTTACACCACTGCATCCGACACTTTGCACTGGACTTGGCTTGGATGCAGCGGCTCAGCCAAGGAAACCCATTCCATGAAGCTCTCTACACGCTGTTCTTGAGCTAATCTGAAGCCAACACGAAGTTTGGAAGTCTGTAGCCATTGACTCTGCAGAAAGTTGGCGACCTCTGCACACTGTGCGCCTCAGCATCTGGGATTTTACGTGGCCTATACCAAT